TTTTAATTATTAAATTTTTTTAAATAATAGAAATAGTATTTTATAGCAGTTCTGGATTAATTTAATTACTGGATACTTTTATTTTTTATTATTATTAATAAATAGTATCTTTCTTAGTTAGTCAAATAGTAAAGGATTAGAATATAATAGAAGCTATTTATTAAAATAGAAAGTCTGTTAACTAGATAAGAAATCAGCTATAGATTTATATAATAATAATAAAGATAATCTATATTTATAAAATAAACTGATTCTTGAAGGATCAGTAGTCTAGATAAGAAGATTAATATTTTATAAATAATAAAAAAACTGTAGAATTATTATTAATAATCTTATGACTTCTATAATCATTATAATATATCATTATAATGACTTTACTCCCGATGGGTAGGTTATTCTATCATATATGATTACTTTTATAATTTTTGAGAACTTAATAATTAATTAATAATATTCATTACCTTATATCTATTAAAAGAGGCTATAGTAGCTATCAATGATCTTATAACTTGAGTAATAATCTTAATATTTCATTCTGATAAATTTAATTATTATAAACAAGCTATTCTATCACAGTTTGGGATATCCCGAGAATCTTGGACATCTTTTGTATAGATAATTTTCCTTGGTCTTTCCAAAAGTTTTAATAAATGTATGAACTTCTTCAACAGTTTATGTTTTAGATGTTCCCAGGCTCCCACAAAGGTGAGCTGAAAACAGTATGATTGGGTTAACAAAGCCGGGTTCTCTATCCGCTGATCTGAAACCACAGTGAACAACTAAACAACTAAGAACAAGATATTATTTTTATTGGGATAAGTAGTATTGTGGCCATTGAACAAGTACACTAATACAATACCTTAGTCAATTCAACATAGTAAGAAACTGCAAAAGGCATGTGTTTTTTTTTTTTTTTTTTCCCTTCTCATATCAATTAGCAAGGTTGAAATATACTAGGGTCAGGTAATGCTTGCTAGGCGAATTGCTATTCGGAAGGGAGATACAAATGACAAAGTAAGGGTACGATCACATCAGAGAGACCTCGAGCGTATCAAGAGATAATGTAAAGTCACGGCCCTTAGGGTTGTCCGTGGTTATCACCGCGAGGCTTGAAGGCCTCCAAGGCCAAGCCGATAATATGTGTGCGTCTGAGCCAGTGTGGCCCAGTAACTCAGTCTGTTGCGAGACAATCTAGGGGAGGGGGCGGAGGTAGGAGACCTCCAGCAAGCGCACCTACAGTCGACTTTACATCTAAAAGTGGTTCTCGAGGTTCATACAAAGCCCCGAAATGAAGGGCTGAGGAATGTGGCCGGTGGGAGGTCGATTCTACAGTGCCTCTTGGCAGTGGGAAAAGCCCCAGGTATATAAGCTGCGTTAAATAGCGATAACTGTATGACATCGGAGTGCTAACACCTTACTGCACAGCTTCATTTTCTCCAAGCCTGGGCCGACCTTTCACATGCTCTGCACCAACGCTCGTGTGATATACATGTAATACGCTCTACGAAAAGGCAGAGGTGGGGCCTATAATATGATAAGTACAAGGTTATCCTATAGTGAACGCACAAGTCCTACAGCGAGAAGAAGCCGCTAACCACATGTATCTTGATTTCACGTTACCTACAATTTGTCAACGACCAGGAGGGATAACTATCAGCCAGCTATTGAACAAACCATATAAGATATCTACCCTTCTGCTTCACGCAAGAATAATATGTAACCGTCCCAACGACGAGGCCTAGTTAAAAGCTCAAAGGCGTTGTGAAGAACTTGCATATACTGTCATTTGTTGGCTAATGACACTACTTTTGACATAAACTTATCATACTTGGAGCAGTGGCACCGTGAACCCAAGACGGCAGAGCAACCAGAATCCATGACCAGCGGATAGCTAAAGCTTACACGCTCTCAAGAACCTGTTCCTTGAACTCTCTCTCAACCTTGTGTCCCTTATCATCGGTTGTAGACTCGCCGTGCAAGTTAAGGAGGGCACCGAGGTCGAACTTGGGGGACTTAAGAAGCTTGACCTTGCGAATGTGGACCTAACGGAGTATTAGATGGATCGCAATCATTTGATAGAATACGAGGGCCGAGGGGGACGAACGTTCTGCAGGGGGTAAATTCCCTGGGTAGCCTTCTCAATCTCACGACCGATGACTTCGGGGATCAACTTGGTAGTAAGCTGAGCGAGAGAGCAGCTAGCGGCCTCGCGCTGCATGATCTCGGTCATCTTCTTGCGAATAGCGCGGATTTGGGACGAGCGAGCATATGTAGTCTTCTTGATTTGGTTGGGGCGTCTCTTCGTGAAGGCGATGGCGAACAGACGGAGAAGATAGTCATCGGTCGTCTTCACAGTGACGTTGGCTTCAATCAGCGACTGCCACTTGCGCACAAGGGATCGCAGCTTGTCGGTCGTGAAATCCAGACCGTGGAAGTTGGTCAGGCAGTTCTTTCCCTGGATTTCGTCCACGCGGAGCTTGACCTTACGGAAGGCATGGTCCTCGTCGTTCTGCAAGTCGGCAAGGGAGACTTCGAAGATACGGCCCTTCAGGGAATCGTTCGCGTTCTTCAGACCACTGGTACGGTTCACCAGAGTCTTTCCAACACTTCAACAAGAACTGGTCAGTGACTGGTTTGCACATGGGGAATGCGACAAAAAAATGATTATAACGAGGCGAAAGAATATCTGAAAGTCCCGACGACGAAATTTGGGGGGAAGGGGCGATGCCATACTCTCTGGTCTGGAAGGTCGAGGGAGCCTATTCCTGTCAGCAAAATCCACACACCCTCAAGTTGCACACTTACCTTCACAGAGTACTCGTCTTTCCGGGTGAAAGGGTCGACAGTTCTCTTCTTAACACCCTTCTTGCCCTTCGACAAGCGCTTGTTCCTGCCATAAAATCAGTAAGAGACTACTACAATCGAATTGCTGCAACATAAATCATAACAGAGTAGGGCATTCACGTACTTTCCAACGGCCATATTTGCGACTCGTGTCTATCTTGCGCGGCTTGAAGACAGACTAGGATATCACACCACACGCTCTGGTGGAGGTGAGTCGAATCGATTGTCGCTGCTTGCTGCTTGCTGCTCGATCGCGGGATGAATGTAGAAATCGAAATCCCACAGAAAAGTCGGCTAAGCGAGGCGTCGGCCCTATCCAGTTACATAATATTTGCGCCTCCACTAAGCCCCCCAAAATGCAAAATGATTGGTCAAAAATTTTACATCACATGATTTTATCTACCTCCGAGTTGCGGGTATCTATCTTGCCATAGATTACAAGTGCCTGCTCGTCGCTTTATATAGTCATACTGCCATGGGTTTGTTTCCGCAAATGCCCAGGTGTCTATGCTTGAGTCAAGTGGTTGAGTAAAGTACACTTCTAACCTTACGCTGTCTAATAACATCATTACTCTGGACAAGCAATCCGCAAACTCCATGGGCTCTCTCCTTTTTTTTTTTTTTTTTTTTTCCCTCTGGCCCATATACACATTTGCTACAACTTGGAATGCACCATATTGATGTTCACTACGGCCTTATGGTTATACAGCCTTTGGGTATATATGGTAGCTAATTCACTGGCAGCCTCCAATTGTTGTCAATTGCTCGTCAACATGACACATTTACCCAGCTACACAGTAGCTATCCATACTTCTGTAACGTACGGTACGGAGTACACCATGTCGTGCCATACGAAAGCCTTTTTCAGATCACGGTACCTCAACTAGCAGAGATCTGTGTAATCACATAAAACAAATATAAACCATAAGAAGTGATGTTGTTGATATTTCTATTATTCGTTTCGTTTCGCTTGTTCTATATTGCAGTAAATACTATGGTTAAATTAGCCTATAAAGTCCCTATTATATGGCAATAACTGATAGGAATTCCTAATGATGTTGTGGTACATATATTACTATTTAATAGACCCGTTGAAAAATATATAGACTGCTAACTTTTATAATCGCTGAGATATCATAGTCGGAATAGCGATTCGGGCTAACTAATTACTTATAAAAGTTACTAATGTATCCGATGACTAATCTACCGCCAGTCAACCAACTGGTTGCATTTCCATCACTTTATGCCACCAAATAGTGTTCTTGGAGTCTCCGGGAGTGCATGTAGTGGACTATTAGGCTATACCTGTCTAACTCCCCCGGAGATCCCTAGTCTTCCACTGAAGCATTCAGAAGCACATTCAGATGAAATCGGTCCGGTCACTTGCTCGCACTGCCTTATTCCACTAGACTTGTGTCTTCACAACATAAATACGCGGCCGAGTTTGCAGCAGTTTCGTGCATTGCTCTGCTGATCTCACACCGGCTATTGGGCTGTCAATCCAAGGGCTTCAAATTTCCTGCAGTATCAAAAGTCAGCTATAATTGCCGGTCGCGTCACCCAGAAACTTTGAAGCATGGTATGCCACTCTACACAGCGCCAATGTACCTTTCTCTAAGCTTTCCTTGAATCTAGGGTAAGCGGAAGAAGTCCAGCAGGCAACCACAGCAACCCAGAAAGGTGACCACCTTCTGATTCTTCAGGGTTACCGTCGCTAATACTCAACTAGAGAGAACCGTTGCCTACGACATTTGCCTGCCTTTTCTGCAATCACGAGAACTCCATCGTCGTAAAACTAGACAAGAAACTTGGCCTAGGAAATTTGTCCTGCAAAGTCTGTGGCCAGCGATTTCAGACGGGCATAAACTGTGCGTTCATGTTTATGATTTCTCCTAAGTGAGTGGCATTTGCTCATGATATATACATAGATCTCTCCGCTGCTGTTGATGTATACTCGGATTGGGTGGATGCCTGTGACGCGGTTGCCAAGGATACTGCTACCAAGTACGAGGATAGTGATCCTCGTGTCCGACGTTCGAATGATTTTGCTACCTCTCCCAGCGGTCGAGATGTTGGGTTTGAGGAAGCGGATCGGAACGATACATATGCCGATGAATACTGACCCTGGACTTAGAGGATCCTGCAGCGTACCAAATGAAGTAACATTGAACTTGCGGCACGATCCTCAGTGGAAGATACTATACCCTAAAACTGTGAATGAAAACCAGCTGCGACATCGTTAAGCTGTAAACGTGTACTTTATTCATACATATGTCTGTATGCCATAGTGGTTTCTGAAGCCACAATTTTCGTTGGAATGGCTACAGCGTGTAATAGCGGTCGCCGAAGTCACCAAGCCCTGGTATTATGTATCTAGAATGGCCTTGGTCAGCAATGTACATGTAATCATTTTATCTTTTTCTTTTTAATAACGTGAGATACCCACTTTTTGTCATCTAGGCCTTGATCTATGAAAGCAGTCACTACCCTGAGTTTGGGAAAGCGTTCTGCGAAATCTGCAACACCTGAAGGGCTTGCGATAAGGTTAAGAAACAGAATGCGGTCCTCAGGGACCCCCTTTGCTTTCAAGACCTCAACAGCGAGTGTTGCCGAGCCCCCTAGTTGATGTTAGTTCGTTTAGTGCGTTGGTTCGACGAACTTGCCTGTTGCAAACATAGGATCAAGAAGAAGAACCCATCGATTTGCGATGTCGCCAGGGAGCTTTTCATAGAACAGTTTTGGCTTGCAGGTTTCCTCGTCCCTCTGTATAAGGATTTTCCCAATTCGCACAGAACGACAACAATCTCTCAAACCCTGCTCCATTGCCTCTCCTGCTCTCATGATGGAAACACCACATATTTTCCCTTCGAACCGCACTCCGAGATAGACGCGACCTACAGGTGTCGTGACCGATTGTTCAACCACTGGCAGGTGATTGAGCCCCTCCTCTACAAGGAGGCGTATGATCCTGTTCGAGTAGAAGATGAAATCGGCACGGCTAGTCCTTCTATCTCTGATCATGCTACGAATGGTGTCAGCATATGATACTGACTAGTGTTAACCTGTATGATTTGACTCGGCCTTCATCTTACGTCAAAAGAGCGATCAGCTGAGGGGACTGAGGTAAAACGTGGACATTCTCGTAAAATATGTCCTTTGATACTGTCGCTGTGGGCTTTTCGCCATCGGGTCTGTAGATGGGGCCAACGCCTTGTGCGGGGGAGGGAGTGGCTTCTGACATCTCGTTCGTCTTGGCTATGGTAGCTTTCCCCCTCCTTCTTCCACGGATGCAAAGTACGACTAAGAGGTGAAGAAACAAGAAATGAAGGATATCTGCAGCGAACTGTAAACCGTTACAAAGGTAGTGGGGTTGAGTTGAAGTGTAGGAAGTAATGCAGGCATTTAAAGCTAAGGAATTAATATGCGAGGGTTGAACATTTTCCTCATTGGGACGGTTAGTGGGACTACTTGAGTAGTTGGCTATTACAATGACTATTCTGTACGGAGTGCTCCGTAGTCGACTGCGTAATACAGTATCACGGGTAGTACGGAGTAGTGCGGTAAACTATTCGTAGGAGTGGGTTCAACGACATGCAATCAATCTAGAACCGTCAACAATCTCCTGCAGAGAAGACCCAGGCTAGCATTCAACAAACGCCTTTCAAGTTTAGGGCCAGTATTTCCCTGGGTCTCTGCCTAAGTTGATACATCGGGAAATAATTGGTAATAATAATACCCTCTCCCCTCATTACAGGGTACCGACTCGTGAACAGTGCTGTTCCCCGGCCACCTTTCGAAGCCAATGACTGGATTGCTCATGAATGTTCTTTCATGCATGTGTCTTGTGGATCACTTCGCCTTGTGAAAATAAACCCCAATTGATAAGTTCCTAAATAAGCATCCGAGTGTATTTGTCATAATTAGTCCGGCAGATTCTGCGACGTAGCTGTATACTGGGTAGCTAAAATCTGGTACTGGCAATTGATCGTCAAGGAAAATGAAAAGGTTTAATTTGCAAGCAAAGCCTAAAGTTCGTCAACGGATTGCATATCTATCAAGAGCGAAAGTTTGACACAAGTCCTTTTTCCTTCCAGGTCATGCACTTTGCTCTTAGGTGATAGTACTTCCTATTCTCCGTGTACAGGATGTTATAAGTGCCATTTCCCACACTAAACCAGTTAGCCTTGACTATAAAGCTTCCTTTACCAACAAGGTAGGAGAACGCCTATAACCATGCAAAAATACATCCATAACAAGAGGCTAATACATAACCCTTCCGCCGATATGACATAATCGTTGAAGTTCGCCCTCTCTAGCCTCTGACATGGGTAACTCCATTGCAGTATACTTAATTTTGGATTGTGTCTGATAACTAGCAATAGGAATGCTCAGAGTCGAAGCAGCTAAGGAATTAATCGTCGCCTATTGTTTAACCTTGTTGATAATACATAGAACTGCGGCAGACGGCATTCCTGCAACTTCTGACTCTATAACAAGAGACGCAATTGATGTGGAGTATTGCACACTTGCATTGAGCACATATTTCAAAAGTTTTGACCTTTTGGAAGCTGTTGAGCCAGTCCCGTGATCGAGAGAATTAGCGGATATTAGTAAGGTATTCTCAATGAATTACGGAGGACCAACTAACAAGGTGGGTCAAGCCAACCCCGGAAGCTTGCTTTGTACGGAGTAGTACCAGTACGAGATAGTACGTAGTGCGATGTTGTAGTCTAGTCAACTATTAGGCTGCCCAAGATATGGTACGTTCCAACGCGATCTCACACCTGCCTCTAAAACAAAGTCCTCTACATTCTTTTAACACTACAAGAAGATCTGGCGCCTCGCACCCCGCTACGGTTGGGAGATAATAGACTCATGCGCAGTTGATTGGCATAACTTATCCTAAATGCCCCAGAAAGATACGGCCAGAAGAGCTTTGGGGAAGTCAAGCCGTTCATCAGCGGAAGCATCCCCTGGCACTCGATCGCAAACGCCTAAAGTTACAACTGGACCCCCGACACTGTTTGACAAACGCAGTGGATCTGCAGGCCGTCATTTAGCCCAACAGCCTTATACCCCTTCGAATAGAGGCCCGATTCAATCCGAGCGCAGTCGAAAAAAGAGGAGGTATATGCATCCGGAGCAGTCACGGCCAGCCCTTGACCAGAGTGACGTACACAATAGCGATGACCCAGCCTCAAACATCCACGAGCCTATATATGATTGTGCGGCTGATGCTGTGTACAAATTCAATGATATTGAAGGAGGTTCCAGTTCTCAGAATGAATCCGATATTGAACGCAGAGGATCAGATTACCCTTACACTTCAGCTACATCTGTATCACGACGGCTTCACATCGAAGAACAACAACCCATCTCAGACAGTAACACTCCCAGCCAGACTTCGGCGGAAGCTGGGCATGACAGGAGAACTGTCTCTGCTCGGAAGAGACTGGTTGATATGCTAGGTATATCAGTACCGTCCACGGAGACTAGCTCGAGTGATTTTGACTCAGTTGTAGCTGAAAATATACATTCAGACAACTCCCGGCCTTCGCAAGAAACCGACATCCCTCGCGCAAATCAGAGTGAACATCCAGATGAAGTAGCAGATCATAACTCTGAAAAGGCTATCAAAGCAGAAACTCCGATGCTATCCAGATTACGGGGCTCTAGGATCACTTATGCACGCCAACGCTCTTTCTTGGGTAATACTCTGAGCTTGACAGCTCTTGAACAGCGGGACACCTCGGTACCCTCTCCAGATCCTGGTGATGCAGATCTGGGACACATCACAAACAATGATGGTAACCAGAATTTGGTTAGTGACGACGAAGAGATTGAATCCAGACCTGTGCGTAGCATACATGAGCTTAGACAGGCTGGAGATAACGCTCGGTTTCGGGAGTCAGTTGAGGTGATATTTGAAGACATTGAGGATCCATATAACTCTCTCTCAGGGAAATGTAGTAGCTTCGCACAGCTATGCACAAAACTTCTCGAGCATGCCTTCGTGCGTCGTTTCTCAGAATATGGTTTCAATGAACGGCTTGTCAAGTGCATAGCGGATGACCAAGACGTTCTCATTACGTCCATGGCTTTATGTGCATTTAGACTAATATGCTCGAATGGCCTTTTCTCTCACACAAGTCTGAGGTCTTTTTGGACCATAATCCTGCGAATGTCTCACAAGCTCCTCACTATGACCGACGACATCACAAATATGGCAACTGAGGGAATCACCGGCCTGTCCAAAACTGTGCAAAGATCTTTCAAAAAGACCTTACCTCAGATTTCATCCGTGTTTTTTAGTGGGTCCCCATCGCCGAGGCTTTCTCCCTGCTTGGTGACCCTTTCGTGCATCCAGTTCTGCCTTTCTACCTTCCTTGAAAAGGGTGACGACATTAAGCCTTTACCCGCGACGCTGACGGAACAAATTGTCGAGTTGCTGATAACACAGCGTGACAATGCCGCCTCCATAGCGAGTCTTGAGAGTTATGAGTTAACAAGGATGTCATTTTTGATTCTGGAATCTCACTCGATGTTACCGGGAACATCAACGTCGTCTTATCGCAACTTTTCCCGGCTGCTTTTCGAGAATCATGGTAAATTTCTGCCATATTGTCAGTTTGATCGGAATAAGCAGATTCAGATGTTATATGCCAGGGTTATTCTCAACCTTACAAATAATGCGCCTTCGCTCTGCGAAGAGTTTGCTACTCCTGACATGGTCTCGGACTTTGTCGAACTTGCCACTACTGGATTGTCTGGCACATCCATGGATTGCAATGTGGATGAAGATGGACCTTTCAATGCCCCTATCTTAGCTTTGGGTGTGCTCATAAACTTGTCGGAGCAAAGCGAGCTCTCACGAGCTGCTTTTCTTAATCCAGCGTCTGATTCTACGTCACTACTTCAGTTACTTCTCCAGCATTTCTCCGCGGGGCTTGCATTTGTTGACCAGGTAAGAGTACAACACTCTGGAAAGGAGGAGAAATTGAGCTAATCTAGATAAGGCGCGCTCTGTGTCCGAAGTACATTACAATGTTGTTATTGGGTACCTCTCGATTGTCTTGGTTACTTTGTGTCTCAACGAGGAAGCATTGAATCAAATCAGGGAGTCAATTCGTGGCGAAGGCCTTAACCTAGTCTTATCGACGGCAGAAGAATTCTTAAAGTTCCACCAGAAGGTTGAGCAAGACTCCCAGCTTTTTGAGAGTTCGGGAGAACGTGGAGGTAGATCTACAACGCGCTTGAAGGATGTCCTGAATCAGATACGCCAAAAAGCACGTCTATAAACGCCGAGATACTTTATATGCAATCTTGATTCTCATTCAACTCCGTAATTATTCCATATGCAATCTGTAACAACAAAGACCTATTCTTGCAATGGTCGCTATGAGCGGGCTGCCCACCTATCCTTTAATGATTGTTGCAACGGAAGGCTGGAAAAACATAAGTAACAACATTTCCTTGACAAATTGATATTTTTAGTATTAATTAGTATACTTCTACTATTAGATTTCCATCCTAATTGTTTGCTGTGGAGGTCTCCTCGTAGATATGAATATTGTTTTGACATAATAGTGATCCTGGTAGTTAGCACTGTTCTAGTTGCCGTTTGACTTGTTTGCGCTCCTTGATTGCCTGTTCGCCACTCCCGGGTGAGCTCATCTGTGATCTGATTGCCATCCCTATCATAAGTGCTACACGATTAACAAAGTTTGACCACTGAGGCCTCTAACAAACTGTTGGGTTCGTGCTTAGATACCTGTTAATGACCTCGAGAAGCCTATATCTTTGTGCGCAATCATCTCTAATTCATTGATCAACTTCTGCAAGCATTACCTTATATCTTATAGCCACTTTCCCGCTCCGTATTCTAAAAGATGCCTAGTGCACCGAAGCAGCGCAAAATAGCTATTGTTGGCAGTCGCTCTGTGGGTATGGCCTCCTATCTCTATGAAAAGCCTTGCTTGTTTGATCTACTCATACTCACTAAATCTTTCCCAGGTAAATCTTCTCTTACAGTTCGATTTGTTGAACATCATTTTGTAGAAAGCTACTATCCAACGATCGAAAACACTTTCAGTCGAATCATCAAATACAACGGCCAAGATTATGCCACTGAAATCGTTGACACAGCTGGTCAGGTATGGAGAAAATCTGACCTGATCATAGAGTTTCCGGTATATGGCTAATACTGCTGTAGGACGAGTACAGTATATTGAACTCCAAGCATTTCATCGGAATACATGGGTATATTATTGTCTACTCGGTGGCTTCACGCCAGTCGTTCGACATGGTGAGGGTCATACGTGACAAGATTCTGAACCATCTTGTGAGTATCTCATTTGTACCTTGCAGCCACCCTAGTCGCTGACATGAAATAAGGGTGCCGATCATGTACCCCTTGTGCTTGTCGGAAATAAAAGCGATCTCAAATCTGAGCAACGCCAGGTGTCTCTAGATGAAGGCCGGCAGCTTTGTGAAGAATTCCATTGTGCATTTACTGAGGCTAGTGCTCGTCTCGACTATAATGTTGCGAAAGCGTTTGACTTAATGATCGGGGAAATCGAAAAGTCGCAAAACCCATCACAGCCGGCAGGAGGCAACAAATGCGCTGTAATGTGATAAGGCTTATGATGTAGCAGGTTAGGTATCTAGCCTGGTTGGCCTAGAGAATGGCTACGTCTCGTTTGGATATCATTTTTCTTTTTCGGAGAGGCAACATAGCTGTTGATTAGCCTAGGTTGTTGTATTTCTGGGAGACGTTTTTTGCAGCTCTTCACTGGTGCAGCTGTGATATTTCGGCACTCGATTTCCCAATTACTGTCTTTGTTACATAATCTAATAAATACACAGTAGCTTAGCTTTCAAGACATGAGAGATGTGATGGTATCGATTCCTATAACAAAGGAAGGTGTTAGAGGGCAGATTATAGACAGCCGACAAATGCAATTTGTGCAGTATGGCCGACTAACTTTCATTAGTATGAGTATGCTATACCCAATCGGTCGAGCGCCTAAATTTCTGCCCCTCCATCTGATTATACACCAACCGAGTTCTCTAGCCCCTCCTTTCCAACTTATTACAAGCTGTCCTCCCCGCCAACTGTCGCCGCTATTTTGTCCCCTCTACTTGGATGTTGAGACACTAAATTTCTGTACTGTACAAGGATAATTCGTTCAACATGCTTGATCTGGCAGACTTCATCAGTGATCGCGGTGGCGATCCGAACAAAATTAAAGAGAGCCAACGGAAACGCTACGCCCCAGAAAGTGTTGTTGATGAGGTCCTCTCCCTATACGAAGAGGCGCGGCGTGGTATGTTATTTGCTTTTTCACAGGTATTTCACATTTTAAACGGCTGATCTCTGATATCCTATAGCACGGTATGAGGTTATGCAGATTAACTCCCAGCTCAATGCCCTTCAAAAGGAGATTGGCAAGAGAAAGAAGGTTCGCATTTATTTTACATATATACCAAATTCTACTCTTATTTAATTTAACTATTTTATCCCTTATTGCGGTGGCAAAAAACTGACATATAATTCTGAAAAAGAATAAGGAAGACGCGAATGACCTGATGGAACAGAAAGCCAACCTCGAGAAAAGCAAGAAGGACGCCGAGGAACTTGCTATCCAAAAGGAAAAGCAAAGAGACAGCAAAATTCGGACCATTGGCAACATTGTTCATGATTCTGTTCCCGTGAGCAACAATGAAGTACGTATTGTACTCGGTCTGAGACAAGAGACTCATCTAACCGAAAGGACTACTGTTAGGACGACAACGCCGTAATAAGGAAGTGGGCGCCCGACAATGTGAAGGTCGAGAAGCGCAACTGTCTCTCTCACCATGAGGTTCTCACTCGTCTAGATGGGTTCGATTCAGAGCGTGGGGTCAAAGTGGTTGGCCACCGCGGCTACTGTTTGACAGGTTATGGGCTTTTCCTCAATCTCGCGCTCATCAACTATGGCTTAGAATTCCTCTGGGGTAAAGGCTACAAGCCTAACCAACCCCCTCAATTCATGCTCAAGGACATGATGGCGAAGACCGCCCAGCTTGAACAGTTCGACGAGGAGCTATACAAAGTCACGGAAAGTGAAGACAAGTCCACCGACAAGTATCTAATTGCTACTTCAGAGCAACCACTTTCAGCCTTGCATGACGGAGAGTGGCTGCAAGATAAAGATCTCCCAATCAAGTTGGTGGTCCCAGCATGTCCAGTCAACTTCTCTTTTAGGCTAACCAGCACACAGGTACGCTGGATATAGCACTTGCTACCGGAAAGAGGCAGGTGCTCATGGTAAGGATGCATGGGGCATCTTTCGTGTCCATCAGTTCGAGAAGGTGATACGCCCTGGGCTACCTATGTTGCTTGTCATGCTAACTCAGCCCAGATCGAACAATTTGTCCTCACGAAACCGGAAGACTCGTGGCAAGCTTTTGACGAAATGATGGCCACTTCGGAAGAATTCTACCGGTCTCTTGGCCTACCGTACCAGGTTGTCGCTATTGTTTCGGGAGCATTGAACAATGCCGCATCGAAGAAGTATGACCTCGAGGCGTGGTTCCCATTTCAAGGAGAGTATAAGGAATTAGTATCCTGCTCCAACTGTACCGATTATCAATCCAGAGCCCTAGAGATTCGCTATGGCACGAAGAAGGCTACTGATGTAAAGAAGTCCTACGTTCATGCCCTGAATGCGACTTTGTGTGCAACCGAACGTACACTCTGCTGTGTGCTTGAGAACTACCAGACGGATGATGTACGTCATGACTCTGAGCCCACATGCTGATGGTAATGATACTGATAATGTTTTAGGGTATTATCGTGCCGGAGCCTTTGAGAAAGTATATCCCGGGCGCTCCCGAATTTATCCCATACTCTAAAGAGCTGCCGAAAGATAGTACTTCCAACAAAAACAAAGCCAAGCAGACTACAAAGGCTACAAGTGGTGCAGATGAGACTGCGAAGAAATTGGAAGGCCTTCAGGTTTAAAATCTAGCAGTTAAGTTTTAGTTTAGACGAGATCAATTAGCGGGTCATTGGCTGTTATATGAGCATCTCGATTAACCAAGCACAAAAATATGAAAGCTGTAGAAGCGAGATCCTAGTGACCTGGGTCTAAAGACCATTGTTATTGCAGTTATAAGCCATGGCAATTGATTGATATGGAGTGCAAGGTGCTAATCTATGAATTTGTCGTTTGGCCTATCGCTTATCCTTCTAAGAATATTTTACAAAATATGGCGCCTCTCACGGTCCAAGTGTACACTGTATACGTAGTACAGGGTAGATAGAGAGAAATCATGAGATGATTTGTGTGGATACGGATTAAGAGGGGATGTTTCGGCCCCGCTGTTGCTTGCCCCTCCACAAGTAACTAGTTAACTAACTACTGTGCCATTTGATGACTCAAACAGATTATAACGCCAGATGAGGTGTTAGTCACAAAGAATGTGGAACGCCTCTCTTCAAGTCCGGTTCCGGAGGTTTTAAAATTCAGAACCCCTCCTCTTGTCACTTTGGGTCTTACTGTTCACTCTCATTAGATTTTCTGATATACCATCACTATTTGTGCCCTCTATTTTCTAGCACACCAGAATACTACTCACTCTTTTTTTTCTCATACCAGATCTCACCAAATGGCTACGTCTGCAAGGGACATAAATGCCCGAGAGGGATCAAATCTCAACCCTTCACAAAGCTTGAATTTCTCTACCTCTCCTACCGCTTCTTTCCAGTCTGCTCCATCCAGCCATGGTGGCTCGGCTTTTGGAAGCCGTACGATACCTCTAGCAAATGCAAAGCATTTGAAACCGTTCGCCACGGAGGATATTAAGGTCTTGCTTCTGGAAAACGTCAACCAAACGGGTAGGGACATCCTTACCAAACAGGGCTATCAGGTGGAATTTCTTAAATCTTCCCTTCCGGAAGATCAGCTCATTGAGAAAATTCGGTTAGTAGTATCGTATTTGCTTCAGCTCTGGTATCTGTCTGACTTGCCTCCCCCGATGAACAGAGATGTACATGTGATTGGGATTCGATCGAAGACCAAGCTGAGTGCTCGTGTTTTAAAGGAAGCTCGGAATCTCATTGTTATTGGTTGTTTCTGCATTGGAACGAACCAGGTTGATCTACAATATGCAGCTGAACATGGAATTGCGGTCTTCAACTCACCGTTTAGCAACTCCCGTAGTGTTGCAGAATTGGTTATAGCTGAAATCATTGCTCTTGCCCGTCAACTGGGTGACCGTTCCAATGAGATGCATAACGGCACATGGAACAAAGTGAGCAACAAGTGCTGGGAAATTCGCGGAAAGACCCTTGGTATTTTCATGTTTCTGCCATTAATTGCTGTAGGCTAATGCTCCTGTCAGGTATAATCGGATATGGCCATATTGGCGCTCAACTGTCCGTTCTAGCAGAGGCTATGGGCATGTCAGTTATTTTCTACGACGTAGTGAACCTGATGGCATTGGGTACTGCTCGCCAAGTACCAACCCTTGAGATCCTCTTGTCTGAGTCAGACTTTATCACGTGCCATGTTCCTGAGCTCCCAGAAACACGGAACATGATAGGACAACGCCAGTTTGAGCAAATGAAGTCTGGTAGTTATTTGATAAATGCCAGTCGGGGAAGTGTCGTGGACATTCCTGCTCTAATCCATGCAATGCGGTCCGGGAAAGTGGCGGGTGCTGCTCTCGATGTTTATCCCAATGAGCCAGCTGGAAATGGTGATTATTTCAATCAAAGCCTCAATGACTGGGCAACGGATCTCAGGGGACTCAAGAACTTGATCCTCACGCCACATATTGGAGGTAGCACAGAGGAGGCGCAGCGTGCGATTGGCGTTGAGGTCGCAGAAGCCTTGGTGAGATATGTTAATGAAGGCACAACACTGGGGGCCGTAAACCTGCCGGAAGTTGCTCTGCGGTCCCTGACGATGGACGAACCCGACCATGCCCGAGTGAGTACACAAACATGATCCTTGCCATTGAATAATGGCTAATATTGTTGAAATAGGTCATCTTCATTCATCAGAACGTTCCGGGTGTTTTGCGAAAAGGTAGGCTTCTTTTGACAAAGCCGGACTAATGCGTACTTTGCTGATGGCCTCCAGTTAATGAGATCCTTGGCGATCACAATGTTGACAAGCAAATGACCGATAGCAGAGGCGATGTATGTTGTTATGTATTGACACTTCCATACAGCGCGAGGCTGACCATATTAGGTGGCCTACTTGATGGCCGATATTAGCAGTGTCGACAACACGACAATCAAGGACTTGTACGAAAGGCTTGAAAGCCTCGGATGTACGAAATCTCTTTCTTCGATATCACATTATGACTTTCCTGACTGATCATTCAATCTAGCTCGAATTATGACGCGTATCTTGTATTAAAGCACCCCTCTCTTGTGCTTATATCTATGCCTAAGAGGTATAGGCAGGCAGGTCACTACCCATTCTCCGGAAGGAATTAGAAACGAAGGGGAATCACAAAATAATTGCGAACCTTGTTCATTTGTTATGCGGCAGAGGTCCCTCAACGGCTCTCGTCCAAGGAAGCTGTCAGAACAAATTTTTCTTGAGTTTTGATTCGAACCTGTGATACGCTAGCTAGCTATTTACGGCTCTATTACTCTGACTTAAGATTTCTTCGTGCGCATTGGACATGAGAAAACAAGTTAGTCTACGATTGCCAGCCTGTTGGCAGAACATTCAACACCGCTGCGCCTTTCTTTTCTTTTCCTTTTTCTTTTTCTTTTTTTGGTTTTCTTTTTGTTTTCTTTCCGGCACTGGCTTGCTTTCTCGCCAGTGTGCACGAAAGAGATATAACCACTTGAACCTATATTTGAACACATGCTATACAGATAGATTTGATGCCAGATAGTTGATTATTATGTGTGCTACTAATTTTAAGCCCACATGTCTCTATTTCAATGACCTGCGGTGTGCTTGTTCTGCGACCAGTCAATGACAAAATATCGCACCATTAGTAGCGATTGCAGGGTCGTGGTAGCGCAGGCGAATCCAACTCATCTGCGATGGAATGTCCTAGCTGCATCACGACCACCTTCCCTGGAGCCGGGACTACGACTCCTTCGTCTTGACAGGTTTTCTCGCGAATAGTCTCTTCTCACAGGTTGGTAGGCCGAGTCACCATTATTGATGTCACGCCGATCCGTATTGTAGCCCCAATTGGGGTCTCTTTCCCAATGACGTTCGCCTCCGCCAGCATAGCTTGGAATATAGGAGTCTAGATTTCCTTCAGACCGCCCTCGAGCCTGGTGGCTTCTGTCGCGTCCCAATTTACCTATGCCACCAGAAGCCCATGTCTGGTGGTTTGACGTCGGCGGACGAGGTGGCAACCCGCCTTTATGCCAGGCTCCTTGGCTGAGATCCTCCCCACCTGTCCTTGACCGAGCTGCGTGCATCTCACAGTTACGATTGTCAACAGAGCGTTGTGAAGGGACTCCCGGAACCCCGTTGTTCCAAGTACCACGGGCTGCATTTGGAAGACGACTATTTCGGCCGTCGATGCCTGTTCTGTTCCCTGAACCACTTGCCCGATTTCCGTTCGGGCCACCGATCCCTAAACCACCACCCGCAGGTACCGGTGGCATGGGTGCCTTTTGTCCACGGAATCTTCTCCTATCAAGCTCATGGGAATCTTCAAAAGACGGTAACTCTCCAGGCCGTGCAGGCAGTGGCGGGGTTGAAAAGTAAGGATGTTTCAGAGCATCGATAGCATTGATTCGTTTCCGCCAGTCGAGCTTTAAAAGCTCACTAAGCAAGGATATCGCTATAGGACCTTGCCTGATAAAAGGTTAGGCATATATTCGAAGTTTATTATTCACCTGGTCTTTTCGAGGAGGGTGGACGATACTCTTTGAATACTTCACGTAAGTTGCCCGGTCTGTTACCAAAATTCTTCACTCCCTCACATCCTGGTAGTGAAGACCACCCTGGCATGGTCTCTTCTGTAGGCGAGCCTACAAGACTGAAAATCATTTGCGCCTGGTTGAGATCGCTATTCCCGGCAAGGATCGGTTTTCCTTTGAACATTTCCCCGAAGACGCATCTGCGAGTGTCAGACTAACATCACCACGAAAATTAAGATATTTCATTTACCCAACGCCCCACATGTCGATGGCTGTCGTATAACGCCGGAGTTGAAGAAGCAATTCCGGAGGGCGATACCATCGGGTTACAACGAGCGTAGTATAATCCCTTCGTGCTTCTCCACCCCCTCGCCCAGGCTGAGGAGGGGCCTCTTCATATGGTCGGGCTAATCCGAAATCAGCAATTTGAAGTATGCCTCTATTGCTAATAAGTAGGTTGGCAGCTATCGGTAGTTAGTTAGAGAGGCTTTGTTCTGCTTGACGGTTCACCGACCCTTCATGTCTCGATGTAATATACGATTCTATAACACGTTAGGGCAAAAATCTTCAGTATTTCTCGAGAACTGATACCTCATGCAAATATCTGAGACCTTCAAGAAGTTGAAGCATATAACACTTGATTTGAGCTTCAGTGAACTGGACAGCGGGGTTCTCTAGGAGGCCCGAAAGATCGTGTTCCATATATGGTGTTACCATGTACATGCTTGGCTTTTTACGTCCCTCCCCTGTGCTTCTATAAGCACGTTTCATTTTGCGATGGGATTTGGTACTTACCTTTACTCCGTTCGACTGCCATTTCTTTGAGATGTAATATATTAGTGTGAGATAGCATCTTCAGGAGTTTAATTTCACGGAGTGCGGTTATGGGGAACTTCGAGGGCATCGGTTAGCATATACCCACGCGGTGATCCCAGTCGGTCATCTTACCCCGTCTCTCTCATTGTGCATGAGTATCTTTTTGAGCGCAACGACAGTATTGTCCTTTTTCGATCTCGCTTTGTAGACCTCACTGTAGAAATTCAGTTAAAGGACACATTGTAAAGGCTTCCTGAAACCCACCCAAAAGTACCCTCACCAAGCTTACCCAAGAATTCAAAATCACGTATGCTAGTGCACCCATGGAACCGGTTGTTGCCATTGCTGTCTCTCTCGAGGGACACTATGACCATTTTCTACCCACACTCTGCTTCTCACCAAAGCGATCATATATGTGAAAGAATGGTGCCAGTCGTGCAATATCGGGTCAAATGGGAGGCTCTATCTCCCTAATACAATGCCCGAACCAAGTTGCAATACAGGTATGAGCTGTTAGCGTCAAGGCAAATGCGAACGTCGCGCGTATTCTTGACCACTGCGGTCCTATTGAAGCAGGAAACTCGGCTAGGAGCCACACGTCTCGAGAAACTGTGGTGTTAAATTCAAATAAATATATGGCTTGTATCAGAAAGAAAATCCGTGAATACCTAACAATATCAGGTTGATGGCAGAAAGGCTGTTGAAGACTGTTTCAAGATAGTATGAGGCGTGATCCCTTAACTCGTGTCAGAGCCACAGCTATCATAGTGCTCTGATGATTCACAAGATGAATTTACTGGATGACGATCATGATCTCACTAGTTGAGATGTACGAAGGAAAATAGATTGATCGTCCATGACTTCAAACCATACCGGCTGTTACCTGGAGCCGAATTCTTGGTATCACGTGATGATATAATGCTGCACTTCTAATCTAGTCCGTACCGATCCCTCATTGCTATTGATTTACCTTTCTTCGAACCCTCAAGCCTGATACATAAGTCCTTAGACGGCAGAAAAGTATGGCGCTCAAATCTCCTATCACCTTCTTCTAATTTCATTAATCGGCTGGAACTGACTTGTAATGTGCAGATATGGCTGCAAACCACCCAATTCATATTCATCCCGCTCGACCTCTCTATCGTTTCACCGCGACTGCATTGGGAGCTAGCATGTGGTTCTTTGTACGAATCTCACGCGACTTTATAGCGAATATTGCTAACCATAACATTTCTACTGGTCTATAGCTGATGTACAGAGCGAAGAAAGACGGCCCTGCTTTGTTGGGTTGGAAGCATCCATGGGACCATTAATTGCCGAATATTCTCAGACCTGAATAATGGTCTGGTTTGTTGAGATTGGAAGACAATCGATTTTCTTGAGGACTACATCAGATATCTTAATCGAGTTGTTAACACAAAAGGTTCGCGCTTTCTGTCGTCATTAAAGGAACCATTCAGTCAGACTCTTAAGTCAGGATGACGACTATATATTTGAAATATTAGGAGATATGCAAAAGTGGAAGTTCATCTACCCTTGCATTTCCTCGAGTAGTACCTTGTACTGGCGACGCTTTTTGGGGTGATCTGGTCGCAACGCTGTGTACACGCGCCCTAGCAAATGAGCCAATCTAGGAAAAAGATCCTTTTCTGCCAGCCAAGAGAACAAAAAGCTCATGACAGCAAGTGTCAGCAACCACCACGCAAAACTTCCCGGCAGGTACGTCAATTGTATGACCCGCTTCAGCCATTTTGAGGGTGTGAACAGCATGTAGCAGGAGATCATCAAATCCACAATTATCATAGAAAGGAATGGTTCTAGACTCAGTTAGTAATATAGCCAACCATGCATGCCAAGGGGACTGACTGTTGGAGCTCATCGGTCTTCTGAAAGGCGGTCCGACGCTAAGGACAACACTTGACAATATGTATTGAAAGCAGGAAAGCAGGAAAAGCACAGTGTTCTCGGAATTCTCAATGTTGCTTTCCTCCAGATCTAGCCGAGGGGGTTGAAACCTACGTAGGTTAGTGATTGTCTTGAAAGCAAGATTGAGCTAAGGAAAAGCCATGTTACCCACCATGGTTGCGATTTAACAGTCTCGAATGCGATTAATTGAGTCACGATGCATATTGTTATTTGACCTAGCAGCGGGATTAAGACTTTGCGTGATACAAGATCAGCAGTGGGCCGTTTCCGCGATAGTACAGGGTTTGGCTTGGTCCATCCCACTGGTGAGCAGAGTCAGTCTCAAAATCACTGGTGATTGACATCCTTGATCCAGTCAAGAGACTTACTAAAAATCGCTATCGGTAATATGAGGCATAAGTCGATATAAAGGAACTTCATACTTTGTTAGCAGGGTATATTTTGCATCTTAGGAACCTTGAGATTCACCTGAAAGTCACCAAGATTTGACCCTGAAGCATATAAAAAGCTGACAGTTGAAAACTGAATTGCTGAATAAAGGCTCATGTACTTGAAGCAGCAAAAGCTTGTGACCAAGGCGCCTCGGCCTTCCCTGTCTCCTTGTTAGACGACCAATGCAAAGTAAGGTATCTCAATTCGAATGTTTGTTACCTGATTAGCGTCGGAACACAGGATATGTCAAAGCGGCGGCTGGTGAATGGAGCAGCAACTGAAGCTTCGGCATCTGATAGGGAGACCCCGACATCAGCGGCTTTTAATGCCCCGCAGTCATTAGCACCATCGCCACAAAATCCGCAGCAATAGTCTAGTGATTGAAGCTTCTCCACTAGTTCATGTTTCTCATCAGGCGACATTCTCGCGAAAACTTTTCCACGCACAAGTACCTGCAAATAGTGTTAAATGGAAGTAAAAACGATGTCGAAACGAAAAAAAGCCAACTCATAATCGTAGACTCATGCCGGTATACACACCCTTTTGATAAGCAATTCGCTTCCAAAGTCCACGATCCACCTAAACATCTCGCCACTAATGGCGAGAGAGTAATGGCCAAGGCTGCAGGCATTGCCTGGTATAGATAAGTCTACAGCCGTCGAATCCAGTGAAGGCTTCTCGCCGTTAGCCATGTTCCACTCTTCTTTCCACGGTAAATGAAGATACCATACCATAAGAGTACTCGGGCTAAGCTTCAATGCTGGATTATCTACACTTTCCCAGCAAAGACAGTCGTCGGACACGTTATCAGGAGGATGGCCTGGTGCAAGGTTAACAAAGGCAACGACGCCTTTCGAGGACAGCTGACCTTGTACGAAGCGAGGAACGAAGCATTGTTCGTCTCCACTAATTAGACCGCATTCGCGAGCAACACTTACTGCAGTCAATATGTTATCACCGGTACACATTATGTTGCGTATCCCTGCTTTGTTAAGCTCAGCAACAGTTTCAGCCGTGTTTGGCTTCAGTTTGTTCTCGAAAATGATAAAGCCGAGAAACTCCAAATCACATTCAGCATCAGCACGGGCCATTTTCTGGACTCTCATCCAGCTTAGTTTTGGCTCATATTTCGCCGCACAAGCGATGACACGATAGCCCTTGTGAGTATAGTTACTCAGGAGCTCGTCGAAATCGTGAGGTACTAGAGAGTCATGCGTTAGCTTCAAACTAGGACCTAAGCAGGTGCAAACTTACAGCTGCTCGGGAGACATATGGCCTTCACACTTTCCGGTGCACCTTTCACGAAAGTGCTAGCACCAGTGTCACCATACTGACGCACAATAACACTTGCGCGACGGAGATGTGACACGAATTCAAAGGTACGCAAAATGCCGAGTTCTAGCGGTGCCTAGGTTTGCATGGTCAGATCCAACCAATTCATAAGCATCAAAAGAGTGTACCGACCTCTATTTTATGTCGCTGATAAGCACTGGGGTGGTTTTCACTAAGGGGTGGTCTCGCAATTGACGGTAATATCGTCTCGGAATCCGCTTCTTCAGTATGGCTCCCACCTTCTTCGAAGGACCAACCGGTGAACTGAAACATTTTTACATCTAGGGGGTCCCCAAGAAGTTCGCCGTCCACAACTCTCAAAGAGTGGCATGTTGCCATGGTGTAAAGGGTGTTATTGTACCTGCTCATATCTCGAATGCTATCCGTATATGATGATGTCGGGGAAGCGAGACACAGCTTAGGGAGCAGGTCGGAGAATCTGCGAACTGATAAGCAAATGTATGAAGTGTAGTGTGCATGCATATAAACCTTCTATTGTGGTCCACGATCCGCACCCCTAGTACATCCAGTCCATCTTCCGTGAGAGTACCCGTCTTATCGAAACAGATCACATCTAGCTTGCCCCCTACATTGACTCTGTTGAAAAGCTTAACATAGTCTCCTTCGAAACTTGGTATATGCTCATACCTTTGCGGACTGATGCAATATATTTTATGTGCCTTAAGCCGTGAGAGAGCGAAATTGGTTCCGATGCTCAGCGTGGCCGGCAAGGCCGGAGGCACAACGATCGTAATCAGGTCGAGTGCTCTAACAATGATCAGATGCCATGAAAGCTGTAACTTGTTAGTCACAGGAGCTCTTGCTTGGCATTCAAGCTATTCTTACACCGAGGCGAATAAAATTGATGAACGAGGCCACGAAACCTAAAATCGCAATGATAGCCATAACGGATATATATCGGAATGAGTCCCGGTAAAAACTAAAGCCGGAAGGCTTTGGGAAGAGCATCGATCGAACAAGGGCACCTTTCGTGGTCAGGAATCCTGTTCGCACAACCACTGCCAAAGCAATAGCTTCGTCATCATCAACACCTTGGGGACGGCGTGCTCGAATAACTTTCGTACCGCTGAACAAGAAATGTCTTGCAAGAGCGGGATGGATTGAGGGTGCACTCAAATTTAGGTATTTAAGGGCATCGTCTGTTAGTGGGACTTTAGAGACAGGGACAGATTCACCTGTACCTCCATTAGATTCCTCATCAAAACCCTGGAGAGATGATATTCGAACCTGTGAGCATGCTCTCATTCACAATACAGTCACCGGATAACAAGATACAGTCACAAGGGACATGGTTCAGGGAGGGGTCAGAAAATTCGTAAACATCACCCGGGACAAGCTCCCGAGATGGGACTGATCTCCCTGTTTGGAGAAAAGAATGTTAGTCCTGCAGGAAGGTTGTTGGTTTCAAGAAGAATGACTTACAAAACCCATTCCTAAGCACACGGATATCGCACTCAAACAGTGAAATATCCCTCAAGCGATTCATTGTCTAAATAAGGTTAGCACACCACCACATTGGTTTGACAAGACAGCATACTGCTTTGGTTTCAATTATAGTAGCACTTATACTTATCACAGAGATCAAAAAGATGCAGACAGCATAATAGTAATACTGGTCAAGCGACCAGAGGACAAGGCTAGCAAGTTGGAAAATATAGAATGGGTGGAAAGCCTAAAAAAGTGAGCACGCCAATCCACCATTTAACGTCGGTGAACATGTACCTCATCCATAAGAAGTTGGATAGCAGTTTTCTGCTGGATATCAATGAGATTCTTGCCAAACACCTGTTCGCGGCTATCACGGTCATCGGCATCCAGTCCAGCTCTCATCCCTTTCGCGTTCTTCCAGGAAGGGTCTTTCCAGCCACCGATTAGACAGAACTTGTCATCGGCTGGGTGGTAGATAAGACGAAGATATCTGTAATCAATGTACCGTAACTGAGAGATTGTAGGGTCGTTGTCCTCGTCATAGAACTCGTAGTTAGGACTGAAGACTGTGGAGAGGGGACGACCGTATACTTCAGTATGGACCGTATGAATGTCAAGTTGATTCCATTGATCCTAGGCCCAGTTCAGTGATAAGGTGTCATAATTCCATACGCCACATTGCTTACCTCAATTACAACCCATTGACAGCTTTGAAGAGGGGTTGGCATCCCCATCAAACGGACTCGGTACTTTGGAAACCAACGAAATAGGAGGTAGAATACCCCGAGGGACAAGAGGCAAGAGAGATAGTACAATAGCAGGCCGGTGGGACTCGTCGAAAACCCCGCAATCACGATGGTCAAGTCTTCCGAAACGATGTGGACTTTTTGACTTACCCTTTGATCGCCCCTATGGCAATAATCATGCGACGAAGCTGATAGAGACCTTCGTAGAAGGGGGTCTTGGACGGAGTCTCGAGAAAAGGACGGACGCTTAGAGGATCTAATTGACTCGTTCGGCTCAATATCAGATAAGTTGTCAACGTCACTTTCGGCATCTATGACAGCTTCATTTGGCCAGTCCGGGTGATCCTGATCTTCCTGAAAATAGGTGAAGCTTGTGGTGGAGTCCTTGCGGTTCCGGCGGTGGGAAAAGGAAACAATGCTGGAAGGGATACTCTCTGAGATCGGTCCATCATATATCTAATATAGATAGTTACGTTTGTTGTTCCACAAGCTTCGCCGGCATCTGGACGCACCTCGTTGCGGGCCATTTCAACGTCTGAAACAACGCTATAGCTGGAAGACCATCAGCAAGACCCACCAGGAGGGTATTGTCTAGTGTGAAGAACCTGCTTCTTATTGAGTTGCGGCGACGATCAGTCCCAATTGGAAACATGGGTGACCGAGCCTCCAGTGGCGGTTGTACATCACGCTCCATCTTGACAATGATACCTCCTATGCGCTTTTGAAGGTCTGTTCGACTCCGTGTAGAGGTCGATTTTTGTTGACACCGACAGGCGATTGACGGAAATTAGAATGATTTATTTGATTCTTCGCATGCCGAGAACGTCAATCTCCTAGCGCTGAACACTCAGAGTTAAGAACTGCGTAGGATGTGTAATTTCCCGATCTGTATTTGTGCGTGGACTAAAGTGATGGTCCGAAGATGCTCTTTATGACCGGCTTGACGTCTTATCTCCACGTGACTATCTAGATGGTGGGATGTTGTCACAGTACGCATCGAATTATGAATCCTTCCTCGATTGCATACAGATTTCACTGGCTGTAGATCAATTTTAGACTCAAGTCAGCCAAAGTTTTTTTCTGTCTTAATAGTAGCTAGAAAATAGCGAACAGCATAGCTCATGATGGCCTGTATCGAGCACATGAAAATCTTCAGATTCTACACATGTAACTTTTTCTCATTATATGTCTCCTGCTCTTAGAGAGTCGGAGCGGAGGTAAGGAGTCTTAGCTTGCCTATAACCTGCAGGATTATGGCCGCGTATGGCTATGGTGAAATGATATATCATTCTGGTGTTTTCTCAATTGCTCGACGCCCAAACCCCCCTCCGCTAACTATTTCTGCGGCTCTTGGATATTACCATCATATACAGTAAGAAGAACCCCATAGAGAGTTGCGTCGTGTATGTGCGTTTTGACGAGGTAGTGTAGACTACTCCGTGTGAATGTTGGAAAGCTAAGAAACAATGGTAGATTTCCACTGTATAGTATGGTAATCTGGAAACAGAAGAGCATGGTTTCGAGGCTATTAAATACTCTAAAGTATAGGAGGCTACCGCATATATATTGAACTATTGATTAAAGAAATAGATAATAGTAAATGCCTTGGAATGACAGAGCATATAGCCTGCCGACACCAGTATTTGATACTGTATTGTTGGGAGCTTTTGAAAAGTTCTCAACAGCCAGCGCCCCCGTCCCGCCAAGCCCCTCGGCCCAAGGGCGCTAAGGATCCCACCAAGCCAGTATTATTCCAGACCTCGCAAAACGTATCAAATTCTTCCTTAACTCTCTTCGCCAGACCCCTCTACCAAACCATCTCCTCATTCCCTCCCCCACCCCCTAAACAGCACTGTCACGATGTCTGAGCCCATCAGGAATAAGAAAGCGGACTTTCCAGTGGCTCCGTAAGAATCCCTTCTTCGAACTACCAACATCTCAAACATTTTGGTATGGTATGCTCTTTGATTTCTGACGAGATATGACGCTTGCAGGACACCACAAAATACCCCGGCCAACAATGCTCCTATTTCTTCTCATGCCCAGCAACCTGGAATTGCTAGTATCAAAGAAGGTAAGTTTCCTCGTTTCCTTCAAGATACTTTCTCATACAAACCAAATATAGAGTCTCTTGACCACGCTACGGCGGCTTCCCTGTTTGCACGCAACCCCGGGCTCGTTTCCATGATTCAGGGAAAACTTGGATCCCTAGTTGGCCGCTCTTCGGGCTACATTGAATCCTTACCCGTGTCAGTCCGCCGGCGCGTTGCTGGCCTGAAGGGCATCCAGAAGGAGCACGCTAAATTGGAAGCCCAGTTTCAGGAAGAGGTACTGGAACTTGAGAAGAAATATTTCGCGAAGTTTACTCCGTTGTATCAGAGGCGTTCCACGATAGTCAACGGAGCCGCAGAGCCTACGGATGGTGAAGTCGAGGCGGGACAGGGTGATGAAGAGGATGTCGACTCTAAAGATGAGGCTGAAGCCACCAAAGAAGAGGACCAGGAGTCTCAAATCGCCGGCATACCTGAATTCTGGCTCTCAGCTATGAAAAACCAGATTTCTCTTGCAGAAATGATCACCGAACGAGATGAAGAGGCTTTGAAACATCTCGTCGATATCCGTATGGAATACCTCGATCGCCCAGGCTTCCGTCTCATCTTCGAATTCTCGGAGAATGCCTATTTCACAAACAAGACTATTTCGAAGACCTACTACTACAAGGAAGAAAACGGCTACGGCGGTGATTTCATCTACGATCACGCCGAAGGCACTAAGATCGATTGGAAGGCTGATAAAGATCTCACTGTCCGCATTGAGAGCAAGAAACAGAGAAACAAGAGTGGGTGTCGAAATAGCATTTATCGAATGTACACTGTAGCTGACATCGCTTAGACACGAAACAGACTCGGATTGTCAAAATTACCGTCCCCACGGAGTCATTTTTCAACTTCTTCTCCCCCCCTCAGCCCCCGACTGACGACGATGATACCGTTGCTACTGATATCGAAGAGCGACTGGAACTTGATTATCAGCTCGGTGAAGACATCAAGGAGAAGCTTATCCCCAGAGCCATCGACTGGTTCACGGGAGAGGCCCTTCAGTTCGAAGAGTTGGGTGACGACATGGATGCCGATGAATACGACGAGGAGGACGATGAAGACGAGGATGAAGATGATGAAGACGATGATGATGAGAGGAGATCCGACCGGGACGTCGATGATGACTCCGACGAAGAGGTGCGCATTAATTGATTATCGTTTGCTTATACCGTCTGTCCGTGCTGACACCAGAACAGGATGGCGCCTCAAAGCCGAAGAAGGAGGCAGCAGAATGTAAACAGAGCTGAGAACGTTCAGCATGGCTCAATAAATCAAGCTCGGAGCATGCATGAACCAGTTCATGACGCCTAGCCCTCAAGTGGTGTTTTTTTTTCTTTTTTTCTTTTTTCTTTTTTTTTTTTTTTTGTTATTTCAATGTTTTTCGCCTTTACTTTATCATATTTATTATTTATTTGTCACTGCTCCACCCCTCAGTCCTTTTGACTTGTCGTTTCCGCCTAGTAATACTGCCTCAGAATGTCGTCCCAATGTCTTGGGAAGCGCCTATGCGGTGCAATTGATCCCTTGGCGTTTCCTTGTTCAAGGCATTGTGCGCATCGCTAGTCTTGTTGCGTGACACATTTTCTAATCACTTTCTATCCATATATTGTGTCCAAGCAACGATTGTGCAGTATGAACATACTCCAGACTTGAGAAGTACACAGAGGTCGTATCTCCGCTTGCTCCCTTGATGGCCATGTGTGGGAAAAGAAAAACAGCACTTCATGGCCAGAGTATCATAATTCCCATAGTTGCTATTGAAAACGCTGATATCTTCCCTTTTTCCAAACCAGCGAGTTCATACTAGACGGACGAAAAAGCTGCTTTTACCCCCATAGCGGGTTAGCATGGTGCATGGGTCATAGTAGTGAGTGGTCCGTCTTAGCTAATCGCTAGTGTTTCTTCACCGCCTGTTCTGTCACCATCTTCTGTTGATGTAAGTAACACTGTCTATGCTCTGCAGAGCATCTGCCACAACTTGGACTCGCAGCTGCATATGAGCTAGAAAATTGTCCGTTTCAGTCATTCTTGTATATATATGTTTCTGGGGTAGAGTAGATAACCCCTTAAGAGTTTCCGATCATCATCAATAACTAGATAGCAGTAATAGATGATGTTCCTGCCTTCTGGCTCTTGGCGCTGGTGCTGACAACTGTGGGGATCGCGTCGACAAGTGGCGCCGCTCTCCAGGTGCCGCCTCAGGGGTTGCGGCTCGGTAACGCCAGCTGTTAGCCAGTTCAGTAATTTCTCCCTAAAGCGAAGCATGATGCTTTCTTCTGACTTATAATCAAAAATAGAGCCCGTCGCTACCACTACCAGACGGGGAAATCATTTCTCGAACTGCTCTAATTAGTTGTGCTTTTCCCTTACCTCCTCACTAGATGCCTTTTAACATCGATCATTCGAACAGATCCTCCGAACGTCCTGCATAGGTTGCTTTCTCCGGTCACGTCGATATATAGAGAGACAATATATCTACAGACTTGAACGCAATGGCTCACAATTACGAGGTCGGAACAAGGGCTTGGCAGCCTGATCCGACCGAGGGATGGGTCGCATCTGAAGTCAAAGAGAAGTTGGTTGATGGGGACAAAGTGCAGCTAGTCTTTTTGATAGAAACTGGAGAGGTTCGTACCAGATTATTTGCCCGACTATTTCGGATGGAAGGTATGATATCGACTAACAGGTTTATGTGAGAAGACAAAAACTCTGGAAACAACCCAGGCCGAGTTACAGGTAGACAACAATCCAAAACTGCCGCCGTTGATGAATCCTGCCATGCTCGAAGCCAGCGAAGACCTTACAAACTTGTCTCATCTGAATGAGCCAGCTGGTGGGTGTGTCTCCGAACCAAGATTACGGTGGTTACTGAGTCCAGTCCAGTTTTGCAGGCCATCAAGCTGCGTTATGCCCAGAAGGAAATATACACATATAGTGGCATCGTTCTTATTGCTACCAATCCCTTTGCTCGGGTCGATTCACTTTATGTCCCGCAAATGGTGCAAGTATATGCTGGAAAACATAGGGCATCTCAGGCGCCACACCTTTTTGCTATCGCTGAGGAAGCGTTCGCGTAAGAGCGACACCTTATCTCAAAACATGTGTGTTTGCTTACGAAATGTGTTTAGTGACATGCTACGCGATGGAAAGAATCAAACGATTGTAGTCTCTGGTGAATCAGGTGCCGGGAAAACGGTCAGCGCAAAGTACATTATGCGTTATTTTGCAACCCGCGAGTCTTCAGATCAACCCGGAAAGTATACTACCAGTCGAGCAGATGCAATCAGCGAAACTGAAGAGCAAATTCTGGCTACTAATCCTGTCATGGAAGCTTTCGGAAATGCCAAAACCACCCGCAACGATAATTCCTCGCGGTTTGGAAAGTACATTGAAATAATGTTCGATGACAGGACCAATATCATCGGCGCAAAGATACGAACTTACCTTCTTGAACGATCTCGTCTTGTCTTCCAGCCATTGAAAGAGCGCAATTATCATATATTCTACCAACTGGTTGCCGGTGCCACTGACCCCGAAAAACAGGAGCTTGGCCTCACATCCGTTGAGGATTTCGATTATCTTAACCAGGGTGGTACACCGACGATTGATGGTGTTGATGACAGAGCCGAATTCAATGCAACAAAGAAGTCCTTGAGTACTATAGGGGTCCCGGAAGGAACGCAGGCGGAAATTTTCCGTGTGCTAGCTGCTTTGTTGCACCTTGGGAATGTCAGAATAACCGCCACCAGGACAGATTCGAGTTTGTCTTCCTCGGAACCTTCACTTGTTCGAGCTTGTCAATTGCTTGGAATTGACGCCAACGAATTCGCGAAATGGATAGTCAAGAAACAATTAATTACACGAGGGGAAAAGATAACGTCCAATCTAACCCAACAACAGGCCACAGTGGTCCGGGACTCGGTTGCTAAATTCATTTACTCTAGCCTATTCGATTGGCTTGTTGACAGGATCAACCAAGGTCTGGCTACCGATAGTATTTTGAACAAGTTCAAGTCTTTTATTGGGGTCTTGGATATTTACGGGTTCGAACATTTTGCGAAAAATTCCTTCGAGCAGTTTTGCATCAACTACGCCAATGAGAAGCTGCAGCAAGAGTTTAACCAGCACGTGTTCAAACTCGAACAGGAAGAATATGTGCGCGAGCAGATAGACTGGACGTTCATTGACTTTTCGGATAACCAACCTTGTATTGACCTGATTGAAGCAAAATTGGGTATCTTATCCCTTTTGGATGAAGAATCTCGGTTGCCTATGGGCTCGGATGAGCAGTTCGTGACCAAGCTGCACCACAATTTCGCCGCAGATAAGCAGAAGTTCTACAAGAAGCCACGTTTTGGCAAATCCGCGTTTACGATATGTCATTATGCAGTCGATGTGACTTACGAGTCCGACGGCTTCATTGAAAAGAACCGGGACACTGTCCCAGATGAGCATCTGGAGATTCTGCGTGGCTCTTCAAATGATTTTGTGAAAGAAATCTTGGACACGGCTGCAGCCGTTCGCGAGAAAGATTCGGCTTCTATTTCATCCAAACCTGTGGCTGCCCCAGGTCGAAAAATTGGCGTTGCTGTCAATCGCAAGCCAACTCTGGGAGGAATCTTCAAGTCATCATTGATTGAGCTTATGAACACAATTAACTCTACCGACGTGCACTACATACGCTGCATCAAGCCTAATGAGGCTAAGGAGTCTTGGAAATTCGAAGGGCCGATGGTCCTCAGTCAGCTGAGAGCCTGTGGTGTCCTTGAGACTGTACGGATCAGTACGGCTGGATATCCTACACGCTGGACATACGAAGAATTTGCAATCCGGTACTACATGCTTTGTCACTCATCGCAATGGACGTCAGAAATCAGGGATATGTGCCATGCCATTCTACAGAAAGCTCTCGGGGATGGTACCCAGCAAAAGCAAGATAAATATCAGCTTGGTTTAACGAAGATATTCTTCCGAGCAGGCATGCTTGCTTTTCTCGAAAATCTTCGCACATCAAGATTGAATGGGTGCGCTGTTATGATACAGAAAAACCTTCGATGCAAGTACTACCGCCGCAGATATCTTGAGGCTCGTGCCTCTATCCTCACAACACAGGCTCTTATTAGAGGTTTCTTGGCAAGACAACGTGCAGCTGAAATTCGGCAGGTCAAGGCAGCTACGACGATTCAGAGGGTATGGCGAGGACAGAAGGAGCGGCGGAATTACAACCGCATCCGTGCCAATTTCGTTCTTTTCCAGTCAGTTGCAAAGGGATTCCTTTGCAGGCAGAATATCCTCGACACGATTCATGGCAATGCAGCCAAAGTAATACAGCGATCGTTCCGTTCCTGGCGACAGCTACGCGCTTGGAGACAATACCGCAGAAAAGTGATCATTGTCCAGAACCTCTGGAGAGGAAAGCAGGCCAGGAGAGAGTACAAGAAGCTTCGCGAGGATGCTCGGGACCTCAAACAGATCTCTTATAAGCTGGAGAATAAGGTGGTAGAGTTGACTCAGTACCTCGAATCTTTGAAGCGAGAAAATAAGTCACTCAACTCGCAACTGGAGAACTATGAGACACAAGTGAAGTCGTGGAGAAGCCGTCACAATGTGCTCGAGAATCGTTCGAAAGAATTACAGGCCGAAGCAAACCAGGCAGGTATTACTGCTGCTCGCTTAACTGCCATGGAGGAGGAAATGAACAAGTTACAACAGCACCATAATGATGCGCAGGCAACCATCAAGCGTCTCCAAGAAGAAGAGAAGATCTCACGAGAATCGATTCGTACCGCAAACCAAGAGTTGGAGAAACTTCAGCAGCTGAATACGGATGCTGAAAATGAAAAGGCATCCCTTCGTCAGCAGATAGTCGATCTCGAAGAACAGCTTGAGCTTGCAAAGAGAGTTGTACCTGCAAACGGCGTGAATGGAGACCAGCAGAATGGTGGGCCCATTCAGCCGCCTGCGAGCGGCTTGATAAACCTCGTTTCTTCCAAGAAGCCCAAGCCCAAAAGGCGAAGTGCCGGTGCTGAGCGGATCGATATTGATCGTTTCAGTGGCGCCTATAACCCGAGGCCAGTGTCGATGGCCATTCCTAGCTCGGCTATGGGCCGCCAGCATTTCTCGGGAAATGCTTTCTCTCCAGGCCTGGACTCCGTTGAGGTAGAACTCGAGAACTTGTTGTCTGAAGAAGATGAGCTCAATGAAGAGGTGACTATGGGTTTGATACGCAACCTGAAAATTCCACTACCCAGCTCTACACCTCCACCTACGGAGAAGGAGGTCTTGTTCCCAGCTTATTTAATCAATTTAGTGACTTCCGAAATGTGGAACAATGGCTTTGTGAAAGAGTCCGAGCGTTTCCTGGCCAACGTTATGCAGTCAATCCAGCAAGAGGTCATGCAGCACGATGGAGAGGATGCTATTAATCCAGGGGCCTTTTGGCTTTCAAATGTTCACGAAATGTTGTCTTTCGTTTTCTTGGCCGAAGACTGGTACGAAGCACAGAAGACGGATAATTTTGAGTACGATCGTCTGCTAGAGATTGTGAAGCATGATCTCGAAAGCCTGGAGTTCAACATTTATCATACGTGGATGAAAGTATTGAAGAAGAAACTTTACAAGATGATTGTACCAGCGATCATTGAATCCCAGTCCCTCCCAGGGTTTGTTACAAGCGAGACAAACAGGTTCCTTGGGAAGCTCCTACCCTCCAACAACAACCCAGCCTACAGTATGGATAACCTTCTCAGTCTCTTGAATAATGTCTACAAAGCAATGAAGGCTTTCTATCTGGAAGAGACTATCATAACACAGACGGTCACTGAGCTTCTCCGACTTGTTGGTGTCACTGCATTCAATGACCTCCTCATGCGGAGAAACTTTCTCTCCTGGAAACGTGGTCTGCAGATCAACTACAATATCACCCGCATTGAGGAGTGGTGCAAGAGCCATGATATGCCAGAGGGTACACTTCAGCTGGAGCATCTAATGGTAAGGTGTCTATCGAGACGAAGGGATTGTGCTATTTGCTGAAATTAGCTCTATCTAGCAAGCAACCAAGCTTCTTCAGCTCAAGAAGGCCACTTTGAATGACATTGAGATTATCCAGGATATTTGTTGGATGTGAGTTTCGATCAGGTTGTTCTGCTGAAACCTCATGCAGTACTGACAGTTCTTAGGCTCTCACCAAACCAAATCCAGAAACTTCTGAACCAGTATCTCGTGGCTGACTATGAGCAACCTATCAATGGTGAAATCATGAAAGCGGTGGCCTCCCGTGTCACCGAGAAGAGTGATGTTCTCCTTCTGACACCTGTTGACATGGAAGATAGTGGCCCGTATGAGATTGCGGAGCCACGTGTTATAACAGCTTTGGAGACATACACCCCGTCTTGTAAGTGGACCACAGCGGACATTGCGCCGAGTAATGCTAACAGTCTCTGAAGGGCTTCAAACGCCGCGACTAAAGCGGCTGGCTGAAATCGTTTCTGCCCAAGCGATGGCTCAGCAAGAGAGGCTGGAGATGACGGAAAGCGGCGCGACGATGATGGAATAGACCTTGTATATGAGCAACGGAGCACTAGCAGTTTCATAGAAACCCTGATGATGAGCGTTTGTATCGTACTAGCCATTTTGATGATATCTCTGTAAGCAGCCGAATAAGGGACCCAAGCTGAACCACACACTACCGCCTGGTGGGGCTGCGGGGAAACAAGAATCTTAAGCCTTGAATTGAACGAACCTGCGGCACAACAGATATATATATCTAGCGCACCTCCGTATGTCTATTCTCCTTTGTCTGCGGTCTGTCAACGTACAAGCTACTTTCTTGTTCTCCCTTGTTGTTACTTCTGAGAATCTGATCGGCCTACGCAAAGATGGCCTCACTGAAAAACTTAAACTTCATCACCGGCAACAAAAACAAGCTAGCAGAAGTGAAAGCGATATTAGGGACTGTGATCGACGTTGAAAACCAAGCAGTTGACCTTCCTGAGATACAGGGTACGATAGAAGAAATTGCCCGGGAGAAATGCCGACGTGCAGCAGAAGTGGTGAGTGGCATTTCAAAAGGCTGAATCTACACAGCTCTATCACACAGACTCACCTCGGTCAGGTCGGAGGCCCGGTGTTGACGGAAGATACTGCGCTTGAATTTCACGCCCTCAAAGGACTGCCTGGCCCATATATGTATGTATTCCTCGTCCAAGCATACTGACTCTCCTACTAATCCTATCTAGCAAATCATTTCTCGATGCCCTAGGCCATGAAGGTCTGAATAAATTGCTTGACTCATTTGAGACCAGGGCTGCGGAGGCTGTCTGCACCTTTGCCTTTTCCAGCGGACCCGGTTCGGATCCAATCTTATTCCAGGGTAGAACTGAGGTAGGATTGAGTGTCAACTCCACCTACCCTGTCAGAAGCTGACGCATTCACGCAAGGGAGCTATCGTGAGACCAAGGGGCCCTGCAAATTTTGGTATGTACAGGCGACTATTAGTTACACAAATTGAGGCTCACTAGCTCCTTCCAGGCTGGGACCCGATTTTTGAGCATCAAGGCAAGACTTACGCTGAAATGGACAAAGAAGAGAAGGTCATGAAATTGTCCCATCAGTTTCTTCGATCAGCCACTAATATTGGAGCAGAACCGTATCTCACACAGATATAAAGCCCTGGTCAAATTGCAAGATTGGTTGGCCGACAGACGTCCTTGATATGACCTGCAGATTTCACGATACGAATTGGTGTCGGTTTCGGCCGCCCCTCCCCCGTATCCCTTGGGATAATCGAGACCTCAAGCTCGATCATGTTTCCAAGATTGTACCCAGCTAGAAATCCTTGCGCAATTGGACTCTACATCCTCATCCCTCTCACTATTCAATACAACCACTAATTCCTCGTCGAAGGCTTCTCGAGCTTCGTCAAGCAAAACACCAAATATCTCGGCATCTAAATTTTCCTGCAGCTTCGTTTCATTGTAGCCCCTGCAACAATAAGCTCCAATTAGGATTTCAGCTGATAGTAAAGGGGGTTGTGGCTTATGGTCCTGTGGTGTACCTTGATGCGAGACGATCATAATGAACAGCCGTAGATGGGCAGCGTAATACAACGACCAGATCGATCCATGACTTGGGGAATAGATCGCATGCATGCCAGTCGATTAGATAGCCACCCTGAAGCACCTGATCCTCAATAGCGTCCAGGAGCTGCAATATATGTATGTCAGGTAAACGTAAGGAGTGCATGATTGAAACCAACTTATCAGGCGACTGAAAACCAGACTAGAATAAGCGTTACATGAACGTACTTTGTCCTCATCCACGACCCAGGTTTGTAATTCGTGGTCATATGTCTCGTAGCAGTCTCGCTCTTTTGCGACATGGTTGATTGAAAGATGCCGCAGACCTGTCTCCTCGGCCAATTGTTCGCAATGGACGGTTTTGCCTACGCCGGGCGTGCCTGTTATTATCACATTCGGAGATGTCCGCATTATGCCTCATTGAAATGCGTGAAGTGAATTATATCTTTCAATATGCCCGATAAAGGCCGATAAAGTTTCCACAGTGAGGGGAAATTTTCCGTGGGGTAGGTAATCAGTACAGCTCCGGATTATCAAACTTCCCGATATCTCCATAAGTTACCCGGTGTTACATGATTCGTTATCTAGGAGATTGAAGCTGCCGTGCTCAGAATTATATATGCACAAACGAGTATTAGAGTACTTAGACAAGGCTAGCTCACATGTAACCCCGATAAGCATGGAGGTATGCAGAGAGCTCGCCGGGAAGCTTGAGTTCTTATGATGTGGTACAATGCACTTGAAAACCCAACCTAATAACCTTCCTCAAGCATGCTGCCACTTGTTGAGCTGACAGATAGCGGCTACTTGAACATTCATGTCCATGCTGATGATAATGGGAAATAGCAAACTAGGCCCGTTGTGATGCACGCTTCACATCGTAGGCCAAAGAACTGTTGCTGTTTTGCAGCCTGATGCCATGCCGCGCTTGTCCGCAGTGCTATTTGCTAGACGAATTGGCGGAATATTTAAGCCTAGGAGTAGTCTGGTAAGCTAACCCTGCATCGTCACCATATCGGTCGCCTCTTCCATGTAACTTACTTTAGAAGCTCAAATACCTTGTACTTTTGCAGATATGCTGTGCCTCGTCTGTATACCTTCAATACGCGTGCGGGGTCCGACGTCAGTGCCTGGGGCCCTCTGAGCCGTTTCACTGCTGGAGGTGTTCGGAACATAGGATCGAAGACTAGTATGTTTGCGCTACCACCGTCACGAATTTCGAAACCGATAATTGTCATGGAGTGTCCTGTTTATGCCCATCCACTCATTAGACATGTTACATGTCACGAAGAAAGAGGTCTTCAAACCCTGGTGCTGGAAGTAAATAGGGGGCAAGTTTGTCTGCATGACTTTGTGTCCTTCCTCTAAAGCACATGATCCTCGAAAATAAGCCGCAACATTCATGTATAGTGCGTCATGTGCACGCACTTCCTTCGAGGCACCAATGCTATTTGCTTCGCACCTGTGGGTTGTTAAAGCAGCGCTTCCCGGCTTGGAGATGGAGTCTTACTGTATGCCGAGACTCGAGAACAGCGCTTGTGCCTATAAATTAATGAATCAATTCAATCCACATGATTACATTCACGATCATCATACCTCTGGCGTGCCAATGTACTTCCTAGTTCCTCGGATACCTCCTGTTTCGACCCTCCCTACACTATTAAAACCATTGTCCCACGCATCTTCGATCATATCTTGTAGTTGGAAGATCGTGGGTAGCTCTCGTGGGAAACGCTCATGCCCCGGAAGTTGAGTTTCTTTCATGTACGTGATTAGCATTTGAATGTTCCTATACCCGCAAAATCCTCCTTCTTTGGGGATCTTCGAGATCTGATGGACCTTTGGGCTGCAAAAAAAAGCACGTTGAACGGATTTGTCCTGCTCACATAACCGAGCGAGCACCGGAATGACATCGCGCGTCTCGTTCTCGACAGCTTCGCGCCTCCGAAGCGTGCCGTCTACGGCGATTGTATTTGTGAAAATTGACATAGAACCCCTCTCTAACATTCTTCGCAGCCACGATGGCATCTGCTTTTCGTGAGCATGAGGCCCTAACTCCGTACGCTAAGTAGTATGTCAGCACAACGCGCTCTATGATGGATAAAGGATAAATGAAGATTTTCGTACACCAAGCCGCTTAGCTCTCCCATTGTGCGGTGTTTTCGTGCCACCAATCAATGACCATGATGAGAGCGTTCTATCTTCGCTGGGTAGCAGCCCGGGAGTGCCCCTTTCCAACCATTCCTGTCTCTCTGCATCATGGCTTGACACTGCACTCTCCATGTCAACAGGCAATTCCGGCTGGCATGAAGATATGTCATCAAGGGCAACTGTTTCCGCAAAATGCAAGTCGAGGTGGGCGGAGAGTTCGGTGTTGAGTACTATTTCCCCACAGCCGTGTGGACACTCGGTATAATCCCCAGAACATTCTCCTGTTCCAGTTGAGGGTGCATTTGCCGGCCGTCTGCTATGCCCAGCCTGGGTATCCACTTCAGGGTGGTAAACATCCACATGTTCTACAACACGGCTGATGCCCGGATCAGAAAATGGACAAAAGGGACATGTTGGATCACTATCATTTTTATGGTCCATGGCAACCAGTATTGTATCCGCCCCAAGAATTACCTCGAGATGAGATGAAGACAGCTCCACGCTCTTGTAAGTTATGACTGATATTTTCGTCTCACAAACAAAGAAGAGGTGATTGGGAGCCGACTAGGGCCAGAAGTAGGTAAAGGTGACAGTTGGCTAAATAGGCACCCATCGTAGGCCCACCTAAATCAACCACGGAATCATGTGCCAAGCAGCTTAGATGCGAAGATCGAGACCCAACTGAGACGACTTGCCCTAAAACGATATACAATCTACTGTTGCTTATAATTATCACTTACTCCCGACGGTGTACTTGGGTGTGGCAAAAAAGCCCTACAATGATACGAATGAAAGTGTGGCCCTGAGATCATTCACTATTTAGCTGCCGTGCGACGATGCAGACTCCGTGGTATGATAAAAAACAATGCTATTACGGGTAGTATTGCCTTATGGGGGGTCTAGCCTCATACCAGTGTCGGTTATTCTTCCCGACTTGCTACCAGCAAATCAAATTGTATTCCTCTTGATACTGGTAGGCATGACAAACGGAGTATATTAATATCCACAAAGCATATATCACTGTTACTTAGTGCATATCACAAAGTAGATTTGATGCACCGTATAGGTAAACATGACATCTGATGGTAAACCAGTACATAGTACTATAGTATCGATAACAGGTAGCATACTGATCGGATCTCATTCAATAGATCACACCTCGCATTTCCTATGATACAAAAACTGCACATAGCAATGAAAAGGTGAGAATAGAAGTTCGAGACCCTGAATGAGCAATACCATAGTTCGCGACCAAATAGCCGAATCAGTCACCTGTAGTCTGCTGTATATAAGAAAATGATAGGCTAACATAGCACCAAGTGGTCCAATTGAAGAATTCAGAAAAGGTTTTAGTGTGATACCATTATATCGTATCTTTGGTTGTAGATGGTTGAGTCTTCTGTGAATTACGTTACGCTACGGGGGGGGTGCAAACTCATAGCATAGCAGAAAAACTAGACTGCTTTGGTACTAATGCACCCATGTTCCTTGACTCAACGTTCATCTTCGATTAGTAATTATCAAGTTCCGATACTGTGTACCCGCAAAAGGAAGGCGGAGAAACGAAATGGTGAATGATCATTCGTCTCACATCTCATCGGCATGAGCTCCGCTTTCGCAACCCCGCCAGTGCACATAAAAAAGGCTGTCCCGCTACCGGAGCCAATTGCGTGGGTGTGTCATCTCTCAATTGCGAGGCTTCAACTTGCTGTTCCAGCGACCCAAAGATGGATGGCCACCAGCAAAGCCAGAAGGATCCTTTGGAATTTGCCAGGAGTGAGTCGAAAAACTCACCGGATAGCAATTGGATTGTGCAGAAGTTTGGAGGTACCAGTGTTGGGAAATTCGCATTGAACATCATTGATCAAGTGGTATTGTAAGTAAATCTGTTCTCTGTATATCCATCTAACATTCGTCGTGTTTGCTAACAACGGCTTTGAATCAGACCAAGTCTACTCGAACACCGCGTGGCTATAGTCTGTTCGGCACGGAGTAGTTCAACGAAGGCTGCAGGAACCACGAACCGGTGAGTCATAATCTCTGTGTTCAAAATCTCAGGAGATCCTTCCATATACTGTCCAGCTCTTGTCCGCAATGTTTTCACGACTTCCAGATCCCGTTAGAACAGAGTTACCATTCGGACTAACCCACTATATAACACAGTCTGTTGCGAGCAGCTCGGGATGCGGAAGACGCTCTATCACAAGAATATGCTTCCCTTGTTGAGGCAGTCCGGCTCGAACATATCCAGGTCGTTGACGATCAAATCCAGTCTAAGGTGCTCAAGTCCCGGCTCGTTTCAGAGATAAACAACGAATGCGACAAAGTACTTCGAGTCTTGGAGGCTGCACAGACACTAGGAGAAATAAGCGCACGATGCGTGGATAAAGTGATCAGTACAGGAGAAAAATTGAGTTGTCGCTTAATGGCCGCATATATTCAAGACCGCGGGGTGGATTCACAGTACGTGGATCTAGCTGAGGTCATCGACTTTCCTATTTCGAATCAGGGCCTCGACCAGGACTTCTACAATAATCTCGCTGCAGCTCTTGGCCGAAAGATTCGGGCTTGTGAAAACAAAGTACCAGTTGTTACTGGCTTTTTTGGAACCGTGCCCGGGGGCCTCCTCGATCAGATTGGCCGCGGTTATACTGATCTCTGCGCCGCCCTCGTTGCTGTTGGAATAGATGCCAAGGAACTTCAAGTCTGGAAAGAGGTCGATGGAATATTCACCGCAGATCCCCGGAAGGTGCCTACTGCACGCCTTTTACCTGCAATCACGCCAGCTGAAGCAGCTGAACTGACATTCTACGGTTCGGAGGTAATTCATCCCTTCACCATGGAGCAAGTCATCCGCGCCAAGATTCCAATTCGCATAAAGAATGTTATGAACCCAAGAGGTGATGGCACCGTGATCTTTCCAGACTCTACTTTCGAATTGGAGAAGACAACTCCAGGCCATGATCCGAGGCTATTCCGTACCCGCAGCCCTAGTCTTGTGCAGCGGCCTAAACGCCCAACGGCGGTAACGATTAAGCACAAGATATTGGTGATTAATGTACATTCCAACAAACGTTCGCTCTCACATGGATTTTTCGCTGGGATATTCTCCGTTCTCGACAGGTGGAGACTTTCAATTGATTTGATCTCTACGAGCGAGGTTCATGTCTCGATGGCTCTTCATTCGGAAATGCCTCTCCTCAATGGAGTCGGGAGGGATGAATATCAAGTTATTGATGAAGATCTCAAAGGTGCTTTGCGCGACCTGCAGCGATATGGTACAGTTGATATCATCCCCGAGATGGCAATCCTTAGTCTTGTCGGGAAACAGATGAAAAATATGATCGGAGTAGCTGGCCGGATGTTTTCTACCCTAGGTGAGAATAATGTCAATATTGAGATGATTTCCCAAGGTAAGTCTCGCTTTCACCTGTGCATCCTGAACACCGACTGACGATATACCGCCCTGAAGGTGCAAGTGAGATCAACATCTCATGTGTCATTGAAGAGAGAGACGCTGATCGTGCCTTAAATATCATCCACACCAGCATGTTCACGTTCTTGGACTGAAAAGTGCTCTTTGTCTTCCCTTATACTTTTGCGTCGCGCTACCTTCCAGATTTTGTGTCCGTCTCTAACGCTATGATGTCCATAATCACCCTTATGTCTTTCCAAACTACAAGAGTCACGTGCATATAAACAGCTGTGTAGTTGATCATGCTTCTTTCCTCCCTTTCTTTCTATCTCCTTTTTTCCTTTCGTCGGTTGCAGGTCCGTCTAATGCAGATAGATTCTTGGCTTTCCTTGTATGCCCCAGGTTGTTCATGTATTGGCGTCAAGTTCATTTTCTCTGGTCTACCGGGGTTGGCTTACCTTTATACATTTTTTGATTTATCTGTCCTTTTTGTCTATTATAGAGTTTCATTTCCTCGCAATACCTCTCCCATTATTCATAAGGAATGTTTCTAGTTAAGTTTTCTTCGGTTTATTCATCACATTGCTGAATAACTAACTAGTCATCTATCAGAATGGCTTAGTTATATGGCGAGGTCCGGATGTCCAGATTAATTTTGCTTCCAATAACGATCAGTATATGCATAGTTCCTGCAGGTCCAAAAAGAACACATTTTCAGAACGGTGCGTGCGAGTTTTGTTTTCCACATTGCTCAAGGAAAACCTCGCACGCGGAAAAGAACATTGAATGATATAGTAGTAGATACAGTAGTACGGAGTAGATAATGAGATATAAGAGGAGCATATCCTACAAAATGATTGTGTCCTATCAGAGATAGTTAGCTATACCTTTTATGCGGGTAATGCCGAATAACTTTAAGCTCACACTGCGTATTCACGGCTCCTTCGGTGGTATGGTAACATGTGGAGACATCGAATAATGAAACGGCGATCCTGTAAAATATAGAAAGTACATAACTGCCGATTTACATATAATAAGTATAAGGTAGTGTGTACCCTAGCAGAGTCAACCCTTGCGCCACCATGGTACCCTTAGCTTGGTCTCCTTCTAGCTCCGCGGGTGTTGTGGCTACTATATAGCGAGATCGATTAGCAGTTTCTACAAGCTTTGATGAGAAAAATGTAGGGTAGAAAGAAGGGGAAGAGGGGGGGGGGGTGGGGTTCGCAAGTCAAATCCCTAAGCGCATGGCTCACAGCAGTAAGTGGTTGCTTACGCCTCGGTCGGTGCATTGTCTTAGCCAAGCCGCGTTATTGCGAGTCCCTAGCTCGGTATTCGCTGCTTCTTCTCGGAGGTGAGGTAATCATCCCTGGATGACATCAATTGTTCATGTTGCTTGTGTTTGCTTTTAAATGAGTTCAATAGCTTTACTCAGATTGCGAACGGGGTACCAAGGAAGCTAGGGCCGTAGTGGGTTACTAGTATCCTTGTGAAGTCGGGGAATGTTTGTTGAAGGGAAGTAATTTCGTAGCCTAAGTGCTTCTCGAAGGGTGGGAGTACGGATACGGTATCCTCGTCAGTTACAATTTTCACAACAAATGAGTAGGACTTTGTTCGGTAGCCTAGACTGTATTTGGTAGGCTGGGAATTTATAATAAGTACCAAGTGCATGCCACCAGAGTCCAGACTGCTTCATCAATCGACCAAGGGACCCATGATCTACAGAGTTCGCCAGCTAATTGGGTGGGTTTGAGTAAGGGATGAATCCCCATGGGTCTAACAGATGTAGCGTCGATACTGTTCACTGGGCAGCATCAGGGGACCCGCATGCCTACTCAGTCTGTGCTAGGCTAGTAAGGGAGGAGGGGGAGCCAGGGATTGGTATTATCATCTACATTTATGTATGATGTACGGAGTACGGAGGGCGGAATAGTAACTTGTAAACGCGAAGTGAATGGTAATCCACTTGTGACAATACGTGTAAAGTCTGCCTCTTATGCCGGATGGGTACCCGAGGGTAGCTTGACGGTCCGGAGGCTGCCCGACGCGTGACGCGCACGCGCCATAACCATACCATACAGGCCCGACGAGGCGCGTAAGCAGTCAACAGGTGCAGCCTGTCTTTCTTCGTTCTCTCATTCTTCACTCAACTAAGGAATTATTCACAAAATATCTTGCGCATATCTCCCCACCTTGCCTGGACGGACCTTACCGGACAAAGGGATTTGAACTTAGTCGAGCCGTCTTGCCGCCTATGTTCTGGGACTCTTTCCTTCGATAACCCACTTGCTCCATCGCTCTGTTCTCGATCTCACCATCTAACATACATCATCTACTTCGCGCCTATTCAACGTACCACGCCCTTCCAGTGGCTGCCTGCTTCTGGCTACATACTTGTTCCGATAACCACGTCAATTTTCAAGCCTTGGATGACGAAAGCCGTTTCCCTAGGCCCTCTCTGTCCTTGTCTCTAGATTACTGCCTGTGCATCGCGCTCTTACGCGCTGGATGTTTTGACCATTATCGTTTCTCGCACTGCGATTTGCAATTTCACCACCCAGATTTTGTTCAATAATCTCAGCAAGGCGTGCTCTCCCGTTCATTGCTCCGCGGGTGCCCTACTAGAGCCCAAGGTAACCCGAATCTTTGCCCTGTTGCCATACACGGTGTGCGGAAGTTCGCTCCGCGTCGGAAGTCCCTTGACACCAAGGTACAGGGCATAGATCGTGGCAGTATGAGCCCGACACGTTCTGCGCCGCTAACCTCACGGCCTTCATCTTGTGGAAAAGCGATTCCCAAGCCACGACCCCGCTTAGAGCCCTCACCTTTACCTCTGCAGCCCGTTGAGCATGTGCCGTCGACACAAGGTCAATTCTTAAATGCGACCGCTTCTACGACGCACAACGTTTCGCCGGCAAAAGCCGTTCGCGGCTCAAGTAGCCTGTTTTCTGGACATGGAAATCTAGGATATGTTCCCATCACAGCGCCCCCCGCTCCAGAATTTATAACAGATTCTCCTTCCAAACACCCCTCCTTCGGATATCACCACACCGCTGCTTCTTCCTCTTCAATGCCCCATTCCGCGTTATTCACGACATTCTCCACTTCCAGTTCAGGGAAACAGTCTCCAAAGGAAACCCAATCATCAGATGAACCCAACAGCGATAATTTTGCACACTTCCCCGAACCCTCATTCATACCCAAACCTTTGAAGAGGACACTCATGGATGCAGCGCCACTGAAGGAACGACAAACAAAGAAGCAGAAGCGGGAGGAACCTAGTTCTATGCGCTTACCGGAACCTCATGAAATGCCTCCGATAGAAGACGATGGTACAAAGCCGCCTTATAGCTATGCAACGCTGATTGGCATGTCTATACTTCGTGCGCCAAACAGGCGATTGACATTAGCGCAAATATACAAGTGGATCTCGGATACGTTTTCGTATTACAAGAATAGTGACCCAGGCTGGCAGAACAGCATTCGGCACAATCTCAGCCTGAATAAAGCATTTATCAAGCAAGAAAGGCCTAAGGATGATCCAGGGAAAGGCAACTACTGGGCTATTGAGCCTGGAATGGAAGCTCAATTCCTCAAAGACAAGCCACTACGCCGCGCAACCATGTCCAGCCTTCCTCTTCCGGCAGCGCCTCAGAAGGACACAGCGCGTCCGCATACTTCAAGTACTACTACATGGGCAATCCCGCCCCCACCATACCAACCGACAGGAAAACATTCGAAGCCTGTGGATCTATCTTCTGATGCCACGCTCCCTGCTTCTGATCCTGCTCTTCAAGAAGACACGAGTGACGAACATACCAACCGTACTGTGCAGACTCTTGGTCCTCGGTCATCACCGCTCCAAACCATACATTCGTCACCTCCTGTTGTGCCCCCTCGTTACACTCGACAAGGGACCCCTCCAACGCCATCTCAAACCATCACTTCAGGAATCGTTTCCATCACCACTAAAAGGAAACAAAACGCAGTGAATGACAGCGGATACTTCTCGTCGCTAGAGTCCTCAGCTATGCGACCAAGCAAAGCTGGGCATATTCTAACTTCGGATTTAGACATAGACCCGCCGCGAATTAAGCGTGGTCGGGCAGAGGAAGAGATAGCTCGAATTCGAAGTTCTTCCCACGATATTAGCCCAAGTCAGTGTGGCATCTTGAAGGACTCAGGATTAGTTGTTGGTTCATCGCCCCTCCGTGGGGAATATATCAGCATGCTACCCCCTCCTATCACGCCCGTCATCAAATTCAAGAAACCCGCTAAACCACCACCTTCAGTATCACCAAACACGAATCTCAGGAACCATCGTAAGAAGATCCAACACATGGTCAATTCCCCGATAAAGCATTTGGGCCTCAACGATGAGGATCTTCCTTGGAGCCCGGCTTTCAATATCCAAGACGAGACGTTCACGCCGAGTGAAAATCTCCATACTGGCTTCGATGTCTTTGCGGATCCTGTTCCGGATAATATATCAACCCCAGCATACGGCTCGCCAGAGAAGCGGTCTGCAAAGCGTACTCGAACAGACGCTGGCGGATCAAATGGCAATATACTGGCAGATATCACATCATTGAATTCCAACAACAGGCTAGGGGTGCAACCGTTGCAATCATCGACCAAAGCTAAAAGCCTTCTTTTCCCCGAGTCGCCTTCCAAAGTAACTGACTCTGCACGTTATCTGGACTCTTCACATGAGGATTTCTTCTCGTTTCATCTTTTTGATGAAAGCCCGGCGGAAATCGATGGCGTGGATATTTTGCAGGGATTCCAGAAGATCGGAGGTATGAACAAGGAAGAACCGTCAAGAGCGAAATCATACCCACCGAGGCCTTCGTGCAGTCATCGAAGCAACACACCTCTGTTCTAAAGCCTAAAGCCAGGAGGTTGGGGGCTTGGGCGATGAAGGTAAAATTGAAGCCAAACAAAACAATAATTCGCAGCGAGCGCCTCGGGGAATTCATATTTTCTTTCTGGATGGCGCACTAAATCGGCAGATTGTCTGATCCTGCTGGTAGACAACGGGGTTTTAATGGGGAGGAGGGCGCTTTGAATATTTGCGTGTTTATTTCACTTCTGAGCAGATGGGGTTGCTGGAGTTTAAAAGGGTGGTAGTCGGTTATGACATATACCGGACCTGGAATGACCTTGTTACGACCTTTATGACGACATTTGGTAAGATGTACATGAGTATGTGATGTCTAAACGAACTTGAGTTTCTGCTTTTCCGCTTGCGTGTCGTTTCAGTTCTTTTTGCTTGCTCCCCGGATTGTTTGGTGATTTACCGAGCACATATTTAGTTAGTTTCCACTACAAGAGCGCACAATTTGCATTGTTTCTGTAATTTGTAAAGCGTAAAAGAGCGTAGAAGCGTGTTAGGTCCTAGTTCCATTTAAGGTGATATGGAGTTCGGTATAGTTCTCTGAATGATGAGCAGAGCCTAGTGGGTCGGTGTCGACTGATGCGTGAAGCAAGCAGAAACGGAAAAAATGTTCGAAGGGCACCGTATGAGGAAATAGTTCATGGAAGGAAAAGATATCTGAGTTCTCAATTCCTGACCTAACGCCGTACCAAAGAAAGGTCTAACCTGCATGACCTGTGCCTTTCAACTTATTGAACGGAACCCGAATACGCTAAAATACAGGAAGGAAATTTCGTTTTGAGATTAGGCTAGTCGCTGCTAGCACAACCGCGGCACCCACAGCTAACACATTGAATTGTTTGATCCTCTTTGAGCTGCGCCTTAGGTACCCGGCAGATGCAAGTTGCATTAAAGTTCGTTTCCTTCGTCTGAATGCACCGGAGGCAGCATAACTGTATTGAAGACATGGTACGTGTTAGTAGATTAATCTTATTCCAGGTCTTGGTAGGCGAACTTCATGGTAGTATCGCTCGGATAATGACAGAAGGAGACATAAGAGCAAGAGTAGAGAACGGGTAGATAGTAACCTTTTCGTAGCCTTGCTTCTTCCATTTAGCGATCAGATTGGCGTCCGCATAGTTGTTCTTCAGAAGCCATTCGTACAGCTGTTTTGATATGGCTTCTTTCTCGTAGTACAAGTCATATATGTATCTGGACCCTGTGTGTCATATTATGAGTGACTTGGAACGGTCGACAACTGGGATATGACATGGATGGAAGACCACCTACTCTGATGGCTGATTTGGAATATGGGCCACAGCATCTCGTGCTTCTTCTTTCCGTCATGCGATGCATTCTCCGCATCTTTCATCTTATTACTGAACTCCAGCAGTGTATCCTCTATATCATCGAAGCCTGCCGGGGGCGGTTTGCGATTGCGCGAGGTCCGTACCGGGGGCATTTTGGAATATGTAGCCGACAATAAGAAAGCAAGGGCAATTTTGCGTGCCTGATCAAAAGAGGGACAGGAGTGAGATATTGCGAAACAAAACACCAAAAGCTTGTTGGTTTTCCGTAGCCCAAAGAATGATTTGCTCCACATTAGATAGATGCGTTCGAGCGGCGGCGGGCGCTACGAGCTTGCGGCCGCATCTGCATCTGCCATGTCACACCGCCTTTAATTCTTCTGGGCATCTGATTCCGATGGTTGAGCATCATCGGAGACCAGCAAACCATCCCATCTGTTCTTCATAACCTGTGCTGAGCATACTCGCGATCCATTTTTGAACCAATTTTCACCATCAAATTCTACCTTTCAGTCTTTTTCACAGAAATCCGCCTGCACCATGGATGCACAGACCCAGGTCGATATTAGCAAGCTGAATGATGCCGACAAGAACGAACTGAGCCAGATGCTGGCAAACGAACAACAAAAGGCCACGATGCAGCAAAGTGAGTTAATATGACTGAGTCGCTATTCTATGGCCGATTCGTCCCCGACTTGAGATGCTCCAATGCAATAATGTGCTAATGGTCGTCATTTAGCCGTCCATTCGTTGTCGGATGTTTGCTGGAAGAAATGTATCACGGGAAAGATCTCATCAGGTCGCCTGGAACAACCCGAGGAATCATGCGCGCAGAACTGCGTTGAGCGGTGGATGGACTCGAACCTTGCGATTCTGAAGCATCTCGAAGCCCTGCGTGGATAGATGTATATTTCTTGTCTTCTACTGTCGAAAAGCAGCGAGCTCATGCATAGAGCACGTCTGCCGCCACCCTGCATGTAAACGGGTACCTCATGTATTATATCAGTCATACCAATAGAAAGGACGTGCTGGCTTTGCCACATGGAATAGCACCGTGAGCGTACCGGAAACTAGCTTTTCTGCTCTGATTGTCTGCGCGTGTAATACTGTAACATATATAAAGATGTACCTCGACTTACACTGGGTCTAGGAAAGGCAAGTAGCCTAAGCTAGAGTCCACGGCGATGGCTTAAAATCTACGGGTCTAGAACCAGATTTATTCGTGGTATTCATGCATTCGAGTAATTCCCTCTTCTTTCTTTTTTGGAAACGATCATTCAGCCCTCATTCAAGCATTGGCAGCTAACTTTATGACTGATATTTATGAACCACCGCGCAAAATGAAAATTCACCCAAACCCTAAATGAAATGTATCTAGACGATGGCAAGCTTGGTGGCAGCGATGTCCAGAGCATCAACGTCAGGGGTTAGACGGGCGAAGGCCTTCTTCAGTCCATCGGGCCTAAAGGAAGGTTAGATATTCCGACTTCTGTAGTACATCAATGATTATGGGATAGGTCGTCGTACCTGACGAGAGTGTTGACCTTGACGGTGTCAACGTCGTACAGCTTCTTGAGGGCGAGCTTGATCTGGCGCTTGTTGGACTTGACGTCGACGATGAAGACCAGGGTGTTGTTCTCCTCGATCTTCTTCATGGCGCTCTCGGTGTTGAGAGGGTAGAGAATGACCTTGTGCGCATCGAGGCGAGGGACATGGGGGATCGACTTGCGGGGGTACTTGGGCGACCGGGAAAGCTGAAGGGTCTTGGGGCGGTGGAAGGTCGTAGAGGTGCGGACCTTACGAGCCTTGTGCGCCTGGAAAAATTATATGACATTTAGCACCGAACAGAGCATGGGCGGATTTGAAGCCTTCTGAGAACGTACGCCAGCACCCTTAATGACTGCCTTGGCGGCAGCACCAGCCTTGTCGCTGGGCTTGGTCTTGCCTATAGATCCAGAATGTCAGCCCGTCCGTCACTTCAAAATAAAATATAGCCCATCGCTCGCTCGAAATAAAATCCATGCAAGTTGACAATAACGGGGGAAACACAGGGCTCGAATCGTTCATCGGAAATGCCTTTTTTTCGTTCGTGCTGAGAGGGCCTTATCCCCCGAAGTACCGACACATGTAGATGCCATTCGAGGATCACAAAACCGGGTTTTCGACAAGAACAAATCTGCAAATTTCAAGAAGACGGATGAATCGCATAAATTGTACCTACCTTGCTTGTTTTCCACCTTGGGAGCCATGGCTATCGTCCGGCGCTGTCGTGTTGATTGTCGCAGTGTCGAGTGTCGAATTATTTGGAAGGTATTCGCTTAATGAAAACCCTACGGTTGACTCTGTGGGTCACCTGACCTGCCCTCCGTGTCGGATGGTTTGGATCTCTTGGCGACCACAACTCGAACGGGCTAGTCTGTCGAGTCTGTCTTCTTTCGGCATAGTGTATCCGTTATGGTCACGTGTATCGGCGGTTCCTCGCGTGTCGAAGCCATCAATGATTTCGACAAGAGTTGAATGAGCCGAGTTGACGGCTTTTGCCCGCGCAGACACTACGACTCACACGCAAGGATACTGTCAGGGCAGCAGAATCAATAGGCCGAGACATGGGGCCTTCTAACAAACAACTGAGAAAAAGACCTGGTCTTCTGTCCCGCACCCGTCCCCCCACTGTCCGGGCAAAGCATGCGGCCTTGTCGGCGAAAGCTACTCGAAATCTCATTCGATCACACCATCGACTACTCAAAGCGCTTGCCCAAGCTGTACGGGCCGGTGATGATGTCTTAGTTGGAAAGATCGAGGCGCAAATCCAGGAAAATGGCGGCTTGGAGAGCTACCAGCTCGCAAGCAAACTTGGCCAGTCTTTAGATCGTGGAGGCGACTCTAGCAAGGTCTTAGTTGATTGGATAGCTCCCCGGTTACTGCCAATAGAAAATACGCCCTACAAGCTCCGAGTACTCGAGATTGGAGCTCTAAGCACAAAGAACGCTTGTTCAATGAACAGATTACTGGACGTCACTAGGATAGATCTGAATTCTCAAGAACCGGGGATCCTGAAACAGGATTTCATGAAAAGGCCTCTTCCCCAAAACGAGTCCGATAGGTTCCATATCATCAGTCTCTCCTTGGTCCTCAATTATGTTCCAGATGCCGCCGGTCGGGGTGAAATGTTGAAGCGCTGTATATCCTTCTTGACCACGTCGCCCCCCTCCGGTTCTTCTCTTGATATTATCCCAAGCCTGTTTCTGGTTCTCCCACTCTCCTGCGTTACCAATTCGCGCTACCTCACCGAAAGCAGGTTGCAAGACATAATGTCTAGTATGGGCTTTGCGTTGGCTAAGACCAAGCAGACATCCAAGCTGATATTCCAACTTTGGGATCAAGTTGGCGGCTACAACGCCAAACCCTTCAAAAAGGAAATCTTGAACCCTGGAAAAACAAGGAACAATTTTTCAATTATCGTCAAGTGATAATAGTGTCGTATGGGACAACAAGAAAGAGTTGCTATCCGCACATTCATAGTGCAGAGATAGCATCCTGCGGGAGAATGGACCATGCAGTCCCAATCAAGGCCAATATCGAGGAAGTTATTAGAAGGCACCAGTCCAGTACCCGTTCTCTTGGACTTATCTCGTTGCCAAATATCTTCAGGTGGAAGGCAACCGGCAATATGATGCAGATCGTGAAACATAAAGCTGACCCCATCAGCGCCATAATTCGATCAAAAGAAGGGAAGAGCACTGCCATGAAAACAATGCTGACCACGACAAGGATGCGTATAAAAGCTCTTGAAAGGTTCTGAACCATGGCTTTTGTGCTTTTGGGATCTGTCTGAAGTTCAGGGTGTGACCCAAGTCCACAGAGGACTTCGACTGTGGCCACGAGCGGTCGGCAACTACATCCGTCAATCAATGATTTATGTTCTTTTTTCAGATTACACGAGATGACAACATGTGAAATGGTACTCACTTCAATGGTACTTTAGTGATTGGAATGATGGCGATAAACATGATCATGCAAATAGACAATACCTGCGAATATTCGTCTGTACGTAGGATGTTGGCAGTGACTTCATCTCGAACATCGTCTCCAAACATGATCCAGCCCACTATGGCCATCGTGCAGTCAAGAGAATACTAGGACAAATATTTCAATTAGCACTTGAGAACACTATTTCCTGTTTGTTGGGCATTTATGCACGATTCTCTGTGCGTTTGCCTTTCAAGATGTTGCCGAAACCCGCTTACCGTAAAAATATAAGTGACCCAGAGACTTTTCCCATACTTCTGTGGATGCCGCATATCGCGGTATATATTTGGAAATACGCCGTGGCCACCCCATGGTGCTACTTGAAAATCAGTGCCTTCTCCTAAGCTACCCCTAGCAAGTGATAAGACTTACACATTATGAGCCCAAAGCTAAGAGGAAGAGTGGCCCACTTGTCAGGCAATAAATACGTCCTGGCTGGTTGAAGGAGAGATCCCGGGGCGGTTGGTTTCGTAAGCCCATCAATACAAGTGATAATGACGACTTCGACAATGTTAGCTTCTCGGAAATACAGTGGGTTCGGGAAGAAGGCACACATACTAGAGGTACAAGAAAGTATACCGAGGATACTTGTCACGCTGAGAAGTCGCAATGGTAAAAAGTTGAGGGGAATAAGCATAAGTCCGCATACTATTTTCCACTGAAGAAGGCTCAAGCCTGGGATGAGAGCCTGCAGACTGTCCGCAAAAAGCACAACCAGTGCGACGCAAGCCCCGACTAGTTCCAAGCAGAACAAGAGGCTTGTCGCTAAGCGTGCGTGGTGACCGAAGCTAATGTATGCTAGATCAGCGTAAGTGACAATACTCCTATCAACGTCAAGACACTTTGCAAGGATCTTTGCCGTGTAGTTCGTCGCTACTGCAGCAAATAGTAGAAATAGCAGGCCGAGAAGCCAGCCTGCATGCTTCAGAGCTAGCGGCAAGCTCAACAGACCAACACCGATCAAAACGTTGACGGAATTGAAGATCGTCTGTGGAACCGTAGATTGGCCGACAACAATACACTCTCTTGTACCGTCTTCATGATGCACTTGTTTTACAAGAACCGGTTCCCTTTCATAGCCCACAGATGTATCCCCATGACTTTGTTGCTCTCTGTGCAATTGGATCGCATGCTTCCGTGTCGTTGCACTAACGCGGGAAGAAATCGTTCCGTACGAACCCCCAAGCGATGGTTCAAAAATGTCTGCATTTGACGTCCTTTTGCTCAGATCCAGCTGGCCGGTCATGCCATTGTCTTCATTTCCTCCATCAGCACCCAACAAAGGGCGTGTAAAGTCGGCCTCATGTCCCGAGTATTCTTGTGGCCTGAAGATGTCGTTTGTAGTTCCAGCCCATTCTTCGTCAGAGTCTACCACAAACGAGGACCGTCGAGGTAAGACCTCTGGAAAATACGCAGCTCGCTGCCATGACCGAGCAAAATTGTCAATGCTATTGACCCCCCCTGCCTGTCTGAACCGCGCGGAGATGGAGGCTGATCTGTGTAGCGCAAGACATAGTTAAACCGAGCTGGCGTGGTATGCGATTTCACGGTGAGTGGGCGACTTACCTTGGCCTCGGATAGCTATTTTCTACTCTTGAATAGCTGCCACTGCTCGTTGCAAGCCCATAAGGATATACATCAGGCTCAATTGCTGAATCAACGCTCGACCTGCCAGGCGCAATTGGCCTATGTGAGCTAGAAGCCTGGGCACCAGCAGCTGTAGGAATTGTGGATTCAGGCATTGTGTATGATTCGTTTAAGGTCCCTTGCCAGGGGACAGAAGCTTCCGGTCGTGAACCAAGCTACTTGCTGCTTGATCGATTTTCGCAAAACAACAACAACAGCAACAACAACAACAACAAAAAAGGAGGAAGTGTCAGGGGGAAGAGCGATCAGGGAAAGGAAACCATGGAAAGACCGGGTCTATTTATTGAATGCAGAAGTACAATCAAGGCTGCTGAGGAGACAAATCAGCTATCGGCGAAATAATATTAGGGCGTCACTTTAGGTGGCGGATAATCTCAGAGTGTAAGTTGAATGGTCGTCACTATCAGCGATTTCTTATAGGCGTAGCCACAGGATCAGCTTGCACGATGTCCAGGACAAAGATAAGGTGTAGTATAGCACTCCGTAGTCTAGCTAATGGATACGATCAGGTTATCTCCGAGAAAGGCAAGGGTAGAAATCTTGATTGGTAAGTCCAATGAGAAATTATTCCACGATAGAAAGGACCCCGGGAGCTTCTGGCGAATTTCGGGAGCGAATGTGGGGTTCCTCTTGAAACTAATACTGCACAGGTACATGGAGTTCCAACCGGCTTTGTAGATAGTTGTCCTTGTATTATTGATAAGCCATTAATGGCATTTGGTTCACCACATTGATTTATGTACTCCAGATGAGGTGGTTCAGCCTGCGATAACATGGACGGTTTCTTTCTTGCATGTTCTCAGGGTAGTGTCAAGATTTTGCTTCGGAGTTCCCGAAGACTTCGCTTTTAAGGCCGTTGAAGCGGAGTGTTACATTTTCAACTGATCATTGATCTTAGAGAGATGACCAACTGTGAAGACCCAGGCTCATGCTAGGTTGTGCCATATATGAAATATGATAGTAGGCGACCTAGTTAGTCGATAGGTAAGGTAGACCGAATGGTAGCGACCTCCCAGCCCACTCTTAGGAACACCGACAAAGACGTTACGTGGGCAGTAGTACCGTTAGTATTAGTATGAAATGAGCCACAGCCTCGGGCAATCCTTCACCAACTTCTCGGTGCAGTTCTCCGGTTAAGTGACTCGCAAACGCTGGATCGTATCTGGATTACGGAGTATGGTATATCCAGGAACCGCACTCCGATCCATCCCACTTGATCTTTGAAGCCTTGCGGTCGCTATGTTGAGTAAGATCGATAAGCCTAACAATGATGCAAATGCAGAGGCCTTTGATTCGATTCTCCCTCGCATTTTATATAACCATAGCTTTTCTCTCCCCCGCCTCAACATGGATCGCATGGCCTCTATACAAGCGTTGTGGTGATTATTGATCCCCCTTGTGCGAGTTCCAGCTTATGTCATCGTAAACAGGCGACCGCCGGCCCATTCGTCGTTCCTTGTGTCGTCGGCCGCCCCCCCACGGTGCCTGATGAAAATTGCTTAAACACCCCGCTGGACTTGGACGGCAAATCGACCAGCCGTGAGGTATGTGACTTAATCATCTTTTTCCCGTTCACCTTTGTCTTTGAGGTCATAGAACCATTGTAACCTCAGTTCCCTTTCTCTTTTCACCGCTGACAGTTAGTATTCTAGCACCAGCAAGCCACACACTTAACGTCTTCTGGTCGTATCATATTGTTGCCTCGCCCAACATGAGCGCGGCTCAGCCGAACGAAGCGGAGAAGAACATCGAGATATGGAAGGTGAAGAAACTCATTAAGCGGCTTGAGGCCGCTAGAGGAAACGGAACCTCCATGATCTCTCTTATCATTCGTACGTCTTCCGTCCAGTCAACTCGTCATTGGAATACTTCTAATCATCGGTTCTTCTTTGCAGCCCCCAAGGATCAGATTTCTAGAGCAGCAAAGATGTTGGCGGAAGAGTTTGTAAGTGGCTTGACTGAGGGAGACACGGCCAGTCTAGTAAAGTTGCTAATCACATATTACAGGGCACTGCGTCTAACATCAAGTCTCGTGTCAACCGTCTTTCCGTCCTTTCCGCTATTACTTCGACGCAACAACGTCTCAAGCTCTACAATAAGGTGCCGCCGAATGGTCTAGTGGTTTATTGCGGTGAAATTATCACCTCTGAAGGAAAGGAGCGCAAGATCAACATTGATTTCGAGCCTTTCAAGCCAATCAACACCTCGTTGTATCTCTGTGATAACAAGTTCCACACTGAGGCTCTTAGTGAGCTTCTTGAATCCGATCAGAAGTTTGGTTTCATCGTCATGGATGGAAACGGTGCCCTGTTCGGTACCTTGAGCGGCAACACCAGAGAAATCCTGCAAAAGTTGAGCGTTGATCTGCCCAAGAAACACGGCCGTGGTGGTCAGTCAGCATTGCGTTTCGCTCGTCTTCGTGAGGAGAAGCGCCACAACTACGTACGCAAGATTGCCGAGTTGGCTGTCCAGAACTACATCACCAATGACAAGGTCAATGTTGCAGGATTGATCTTGGCCGGTTCTGCCGATTTTAAAAACGACCTGAATCAGTCCGATATGTTCGACCAGAGATTGCAGGCTAAGGTCATCAAGGTTGTCGACGTGTCTTATGGTGGCGAGAACGGCTTTAACCAGGCTATCGAACTGGCATCTGAGACCTTGAGCAACGTCAAATTTGTTCAGGAGAAGAAGCTTATCGGAAAGTACTTCGAAGAAATCAGTCAGGATACTGGAAAGGTCTGTTATGGCATTGACGATACATTGAAGGCTTTGGAGCTTGGTGCGGCGGAGACACTGATCGTATATGAGAACCTTGACGTTACCCGGCACGTTCTCAAGAGCTCCAGCGGTTCGGATGTCGTCATCCACACTACCAAGTCACAGGAAGAGAACCGTGAACTGTTCATGGACAAGGAGACTGGCGCTGAGATGGAAGTGAGCGAGCAGCAGTCGTTCCTTGAGTGGCTTGCTGAAAGCTACAAGGACTTTGGAGCAACCCTGGAGTTCGTCTCCGACAAGTCCAGTGAAGGAAACCAGTTTGTCAAAGGTTTCGGTGGTATCGGAGCCATCCTTCGGTACAAGGTCAACTTTGAACAGCTTGCTGACTACGATGACGAGGATGAATTCTACGACGGTATGTTTAACTCAGTATCGGTGTTATTCGTGTGCTAACCACTCTCTATAGATTGACGGTTCAGCGGCCTCGCAGAGAGCGAGGATGAACGGCCAGAAGATTCCAGTTCGGACCTTCTGACGGCTCGCCCCGTGATTCGTGATGGCGGCTCTCCCGGCAACATGGCCGCAATGGTACACACCTTGCCGTTGCCCAGTCAATCTCCTATGAAGCTGCTTAGAAGTATGTGCTTCCTTATTTGTGCAATCGTTGCAACTTGCTGACATCATAGCAGCAGGGCCATCCAAGCTCCGTAACATGTTCACAGAGGTTATGTAGACAGTCTAGGGTGGCACTAGGTTTTATATTCCAGTTCGAAAGGATGATAGATCTGTTATGTCGAACCTATAACTGTTCATCAAGGGCTGTCGATCGTATAACACTTGGGCTAGCGCGTTTAGACTGTTGGTTCCAGTGCTTGTTAGCACTGGATCTTTCTTCGTTGTGTTTTTCTTTTGTTGCTTCTGTGTGCGCTTCTTCTTATAACGGAAGGAAACCAATCCTGCTTTCCTTTTCATGTTATATACAGGTCCTGTAGATGCCTGTAAATTTGGTTGCGCATGACACACGAGGCCTACACGGCAATTGAACTGCTTCATAGAACTCATTTTTTTTATTCGGGTATCGATATGATGTGTCTATATGAAGTATTGCAAGCTACAAAAGCACTATAAACCCTCTGCACCCTTTCCTCACCAGTAACGACGCTTAGACATATACGAGCTGATCCGCCCATGTTCCCAAATGCCTGCAACCCTCAGTTACAAATTGTAGCCCATCAATGATCTTAGATACCGCATCCGCATTTTCACTTGTTGGGACGTATTGGCCTTCGACCAGGAATACATACTTCCACGCCCTTATCTGACTCGGTCGAGAATTTATGCTCGTCAGATTCATGCCACGATCCTTGAAGATCAAGAGAGCATCTGCCAAAGCACCCGGGCAGTCCTGGCGAATCATGAATGAGATCAAAGTCTTTTGCGCTGTTGGTGTAGTAGAAGTCTGTCTCTGCGCTGGGGAACCGTTGACATATTGGAAGACCAGCTGGCCTGTACGTTCCGATTTCACATTTCTGAGCACCAGGAAGCGGGTGGTGTTATTGGCCTTGTCCTCAATGTTTTCCTCTGATACATCCAGACCGTGATGTTCGGCAGCAAAGCGGCTAGCTATTGCTCCACATCGCTCTGTCGTCTCCTTCGACACGATCTCAGCGCCCTTGGAGGTTGACGAGACATCTTGTCTTTCGATGCCTTTAAAAGTTTTTTCAAGAAAAGTATCACACTGGCCCCATGCCTGCGGGTGGGTATATAACTTGGTGATGGAGCTGTAATCTCGCTGACCAGGTGGGAAGAGACCCTTTCGAGTGAGAAGACAGTGGTGAACTGTCAGATAATGTTCCCCGCACACTTTCACATCACTGTAGAGGCCACTCGGGTCCGCCAAGAGATCTAGAGTCTGAACAACCGAGCCATTGGTTGAGTTCTCGCAAGGGATGATAGCATAATCGACTCTGCCTCCTTGCAATGCTGCGAAAGCGTCCGGAAACGATACGTGGGGTAAAAGTTCAGCTGAAGACCCAAAGCTTTCAACTGCGGCCTAAAGGGTTGGTTAGTAATATGACTATGGTGAAATCCAACCTGATGAATTTCTGACCTGGTGGGAAAATGACGCGACAGGGCCGAGGAATGCGACCTTGAGAGGCTCCATGACAGGGCTATGAGTACTTCGGAGATCCACTGGGTTTAGGTTGCTTGCCTCACGATTTTGTACTCCTGCCAAGAGCTTGTGAGTTGTTCCTTTCCACAGCTGCGGCTGACATAACTAGTCGAAATTCGAACTCGTTTACGCCCGTGTAATCATCTCCGAGTTGTTTGTTTTTGATGGTTCAATCTGTCCGCTAGGGCCTGGTGATCTTATTAGTCCAAATGCGCATGTTCAGTTTGGATTCCAGACGGATGCGACTATTACTGCGTTCATGGCAGCAGCAGCAACAACAGCAACGACAATGGCGGATACTGCCGGCTTCATTACGTGCATGCTCGTCTCTTTCCGAAAGGCTACATCGAGATTTGACATCACGACGCCTTCCCTTGACTTTTGATTATCTACATCCCCAACCGTCATTCCTCCTGAGCTTAACTTTGGCCGAACTTCTTCCCACGCTAACCCCAGCGTCAAATGAGCTTCCTTCCGCACACAGCAGATTTCCCGTGCCAGCAGGCCACCATCTAGTCTACTTCCCTCCCCAGGTCACGTTGTCGCAGATCCTTCCAGACGGTACAGACACCTTACATGCCCCAGGGAGTCCCTTTGATAGGCGCTTGTGGGCTGGTGGAAGTGTCAGATTCTCCACCCCAAACGGCCTGGTTCTCAATGGCAGCCGCGCCGTTTGTATCGAAACTATTCGTGACGTGGTGATGAAGGGCCGGTCAGGCGAAGAGAAGGTTATGGTCAGAATTGAAAGGCGGATCGGCGCAGTTCAAGAGGGCGAAGACCATCGCAATATTAGAGAGCGGATATGGAAGGAAGCCGAGGAAGACGTTGGCGATGCTTGTGTCATTGAGACTAGGAATCTATTGTTCATGCGCAAGAAGACTCCCGAGCAATTAAGTCATGACAAGGCTGGTTTTGACATGGAAAATAGGGCTATAAGATGTGCGAGATTCCTCGAAGATTGCCAGTCACTAAATCTTTGCTAACGGTGCTCGGTGGCGCGTAGCACCCTCAGGTTCATACTTTCTCCACAGACTCATACCTAACAAAACCCTGCTGTTCCGCTTCTCGGCTCTTACTTTCAACGCTCATTCTATACATATCGATAAAACCTACACACAAGACGTTGAAGGCTACCGCAACCTTCTCGTACATGGGCCGTTGACTTTGGCGTTGCTTCTCGCGGCTCTGCAGGGCCATCTGAGTAAGTTTGAATTGGCTGTCACGCACATTGAGTATAGGAACATAGCTCCTCTATATGTTGATGAGGAGTTGGCAGTATGCGGCAAACCCAAATCCGGAAAAGGCTACGCAATCTGGGATGTTTGGATTGAGGGCAGGGACGGACGACTTGCCGTCCGAGGCACCGCTTTCACTAGCCCCTTGTAGGGTTCATGGTCTCAGGATGAAGAAGCGGCGGCCAAGGCCAACAATCGAATAGAGGAAAGAGCCTCCTGGTCTATTAGGAACTTACTTGGCTTGACACCACTACCCTGACTTATTGGGTCCTACGGCAATTCCGGGCGTCGAACAGGACGTCTTCGTAGATCGGTGCTTCTTTGAGAGATGGGGTGTATAGCGACACATTGCATACTGAATTAGCTCGCAAGTAGCATTAGTAACCCGTTATTCCAGGAGCATCATGGACCACTAAGGACCCATCCCTGGATATGACAATCAATTTACACCCAGCTATGCTTGAAATATAGGGTGGCTATAGTTAGTCATTGAAGTTTTTCCACGGAGGAGTTAGTTATCAATTAACCAGGCACTGAAACACCAGGACACCATTACGTACAGAAATGATGATATAAACTGCCGCAATGGGTATAACCCTGTGGGTCGCACACATGCCGGAACGGATAAACAGATGCCGCATTGGAGCTAGGAAATACACACACTATAAGAACTTACTTTCTGTCCTTTTCTTTCTTTCCCATTGACCCAATTTCGTTGTTGTTAAAACAACTCTGAACGCCGCGTCCCTTTCGGTGACACTGAATGATGTGTCTTGAATAGTATCTGTACTCAGATCACAGGATTATAACCGTGACTGCTCATCATAGCAGCTTCCTTGCAATTACAATGGACCAGTTTTGGGCTGCTCCTCCTGTTACTAGGTACGCCACATCACTCGTGTTTGATATCAGGACCCATAACTGACTCTCTTTTAGAACACTCACTGCACTTACATTTCTACAGTCTATAATGGTACATGGTGGCCTTCTCAGCGGTTACTATGTACTGTTCCTTCGTCGCCTTGTCTTCAAGACTCTACCAGAGATATGGAGGCTGTTCTCGCCGTTTATGATCACTGGACCAGGCCTTTCCCTGATCTTTGATCTCTACTTTAGTATGGCTTTTGCGCTGTTCCGATGAACGGGCGTGCTAACTGCCGGTAGTGTTTACCTATGGCAGTCGCCTGGAGACTGAATCTCCCCGGTTCAGTGCACCCGGTGATTTTTTCACTTATGTGTCCTTCGTAGCCTCCATCATCATGGTAAGTTGTGGGAACATCCCAGTCTCATCTGCAAGCGATGACTTCGACCCTCGTTGTCTCCCAATCTTGCTCTGCGCCTATCTTTGTTATTGTTGTCATTTCTTTTTTTCATCTGTTTACTTGCCACCTCGTATATCTGCCCGCCCAGCGCAGCATCAGCTGAAGCGGTTCCTGGAAACGAGGGAGATCGCCCCTGCATCCCGTATAGCTCCACAACTGATTTTTACCGGAGCTATATGCGTTGTGGGTATGGTGGGACGACCAGTGAGATAGCTAGTGTGATGAACCTGTTCACACTGGTGGTTATGGTGCCCTACATCTCTATAACTATATATCCTATTGATTTGTCACTATTTTCATAGACCCTTCCTGCTTTCCAATGTAGCCTCCTTGAATTGCCAGTACTGACAGCCCAAAGCTCACGGCAGGTTGTCTATTGAATAGTGTAATTTTCACTTCTGGTGAGCTTGCCGTGGTACCAAAATTATGCTTGCCTATACTGATATTTTCTCGACTCAGCGTTGATCATGGCTTTCGTTTACACGTATTCCCAAGACAACCGAGGGAGAAAGGCGAGCTTTTTCATCGTCCAAATACCCGTCGAGTTCTTGCCATGGGCAATGCTCACATTAACGCTGGTCGTTTCCGGATGGCCTGCGGCGTTAAGGGACGGCATGGGCATAGTAGCTGCCCACTTCTACGATTTTCTTACCCGTATTTATCCAACTTTCGGAGGTGGTAAGAATTACCTCGTCACTCCAGAATTTGTGAGGCGGTTCTTTGCTGCTCGCAAGCCGCGGAGCGAACCTCGCGCCTTTGGGACCGCCTACCGTGCGACGGACCAGCCCCAGGGTTCTTCGGGAAGTTGGGCTTCGTCTTTTCAGAGCCCTTGGAGCAGAAGAGGGCCAGGAAGAAGACTTGGTGGTGACTGAATAAGGCACGTCGTTCCTGCCAGGTTGATCAGTCGCTCCAAGTCCAGTGGGGAGGTCAGGTCAAGCGCGCAATGTTTAATACAGTCGTATTTAGCTCGATGCTGAATGAGCCAAGGGCTCAATGCAATACGACTGTCAACTTCTTGCAAAGCTTTTGAAGTCGTTCCGATGCTTAGAATCCTTATTAAAAGAGAAGTAGCAGATACTTGAGTAGGCACGACGCAAGTAGACTAATACCTACTATACCACCAAGTAATGAAAATTGTCAACTTCCGATACAGTTCTTCAAAAATACATGTTTCAAAGACACAATGAGACGTACGGATACGAAATTTGCAACGTGCGAAAGACAAGTCACGGGATGCTGGCCCGGCGGGTAAAATTTCTGCTCTAACCTGATTAGTCGCAGGAGCTTTCGCCGCACTTCAAAATTTCCCAGACTTCTTCCTCGCTAGCGCGAGAACAAAACTTAGTCCGGAGAGTGCAATTTTTCCTGCGCCTTCCCTCAACGCGCGCAACAACCCAGTTATCTCTGCACCCTTCAAGCCAGCCTGTTTAAAATGGCGGTCGCAGTGGCTAAGGAGGAGATGGACTACTCAATCAAGCCTGAGGCTAGTGCCTCGAAAATCGACACGTCGGAGTGGCCGCTTCTTCTGAAGAATTATGACAAGCGTACGTTCACTTCAAATCCACATCTCATATCAATGTAGCTGGTGCTGATTTATGATATCAGTGCTTGTCAGGACCGGCCACTTCACGCCAATTCCTGCTGGTAGCACTCCTCTGAAGCGTGACCTGAAGTCGTACATCAACTCCGGTGTCATCAACCTGGACAAGCCTTCAAACCCCTCCAGTCATGAGGTTGTTGCTTGGATGAAGAGAATCCTGAGGTAAATCTTCTATTACGTTCTCCTCTTGTCTTCACGATACTGAGACTAGTTCTGTAAAGGGCGGAGAAGACTGGTCACAGCGGAACCCTCGACCCCAAGGTCACCGGTTGCTTGATTGTCTGCATTGACCGTGCTACTCGCCTGGTGAAATCCCAACAGGGTGCCGGAAAGGAATACGTTTGCGTGATCCGCCTACATGATAAGATCCCCGGTGGCGAGGCTCAGTTTAAGCGGGCTCTTGAGACCTTGACTGGAGCCCTTTTCCAGCGGCCGCCATTGATCTCTGCTGTTAAGCGTCAGCTTCGTATCCGGACAATTCACGAAAGCAAGCTTTACGAGTTCGATAATGAGAGGCATCTCGGTGTCTTCTGGGTCAGCTGTGAAGCCGGAACGTACATCAGAACCCTTTGTGTCCACTTGGGTCTTTTGCTCGGTGTTGGTGCGCACATGCAGGAACTTCGCCGTGTTCGCAGTGGTGCCATGGATGAGAACAGTGGAATGGTGACTCTACACGACGTTTTGGACGCCCAATGGATGTACGACAACCAGCGGGACGAGTCTTATTTGAGGAAGGTCATCAAACCTCTGGAGACTCTTCTCACCACGTACAAGCGTATCGTTGTCAAAGACAGTGCTGTTAACGCTGTATGCTATGGTGCTAAGCTTATGGTCCCTGGTCTCCTCCGCTTCGGTAAGATCTTGTCTTCTCCATATGGTTCGAATTGAATTGCTGACTCTGGTGAAGAGGCTGGTATTGAGGTCAACGAAGAGGTAGTTCTCATGACCACTAAGGGTGAGGCTATTGCCATCGGTATCGCTCAAATGTCGACCGTTGAGCTGTCCACCTGCGATCACGGCGTTGTGGCCAAGGTCAAGCGTTGTATCATGGAACGCGACCTGTACCCGCGTCGCTGGGGTTTGGGGCCTGTGGCTTTGGAGAAGAAGAAGCTCAAGTCCGCCGGAAAACTGGATGTAAGCTATCCTATGGAATACTCACATATGTTCTGGCTTTGCTGACAAATAATGCAGAAATACGGTCGTGCTAACGAGGCTACGCCTGCTAAATGGAAGAACGACTACAAGGATTACAGCGCACCCGAAGAAGAAGGCGCACAGGCAGTGGCTCAACCTGTTGCTCAAGAAGAAACCGCTACTCCTGCTGAGCAAACCGAAACCCCTTCTTCTCCCAACAAGATGGATGTTGATGACGACGACGACGAGAAGAAGAAGCGCAAGCGCCACGAAGGTGAGACGCCCGAGGAACGGGCCGAGCGCAAGCGCAAGAAGAAGGAGAAGAAGGAAAAGAAGGAGCGCCGGAAGTCCAAGCAGGAGAAGGAAGAGAGCGACGATAGTGATTAAACGCTTCCGGGAAGTTCTTTACCTGCCTCAGAATGGGGAGCGGCCGCTATACAATCGGTCTTGGCTTGTTGGAGCGTCGCTTGGGTATGATTCCTGTAACATACTTGTTTCTTTGTGTTGGAGTCTTGGGTTTGAAAAGGGAATCTATTTACTAAACAGATGTTTGTCGCGGTTCTGTATGCCAGTGTCTTTTTTTCGTTTCAATTACTTCTTCCACCTGCTTGGTCCTTGAATATGAGTGAACCTCTTCGTAGTTGGGCGTGGGTACCGTGACTGGAGGCCCGTGACCGGAGGCGGTGTCCCCGCATCACTTCCGGTCACCATATTGGGCAACTTCGTACTACTGCTCCCCCATTTCTTTACCCTCAATTCACTTATGTCTACGTCACGTCACATCTGAGCGCTGCTTAGCCTTATAACTGCCCAGTTAGAAGTTCAATCACCGACCGTATCTTTGATTACCATGGCTGCGGAACTTACTTCAACTCGGCTCAATGCGGAGAACCATCTGCTCTTGGTATTGAACTCTTCGTCCCCTACCTATTGCTGGCTTGCACCCATTCTGATACTAATACTGTCGACTACTTGCAGGACCAACCTCTCCTGCGCTTACCACATGAGCTTGCACGTCGGAACTTCAAGTCTGTTCAGCGCCTCGTCGAGCGAGAAAAGGAGTACGTCCTCCCCGCACTCAAGGAGACCGCCAATGCATCCTTATCAAATGAACAAACGCCTGACCAAGCTCTTGCTGCGCTCGATGCTATGATTTCCCGCATGCAAGGCTTGAAACGGAAAATGGAGAATCTACATCAGGAGGAAAGAAAAATTCAAGAGCAGTCCCGGAAGCGTATCCAGCACCTAGAGAAACTTCACCAGATTCCTAGCTTGGCAGACGTCCAATACGATCAGTGGGCGAGGGTCCGTTTGGACAGGCTCATGATAGATCATATGTTACGTTCCGGATATATCAAAAGTGCCCAGCAATTAGCCCGTGAAAAGGAGATCGAGGATCTTGTAGATCTCAACGTTTTCGTTCAGTGTCAACGGATTGCCGAGAGTCTACGCACTGGTGAAACGAAAGATGCCCTGCAATGGTGTGGCGAGAATAAAGCAGCGCTGAAGAAGAGTCAGGTCTGTCTAACATCCAACAATGATCACGGAGCTATATGCCAGAGTCCAAGCCTAACCCAAAATTACAGTATAATCTGGAATTCGAACTCCGATTGCAGCAATACATTGAAATGGTCAGGACGGGGCCTAAAGAGAGATTCAATGACGCTATGATCCACGCCAAGAGATATCTAGCGCCTTATCTTGAGACACAGTCGGTGGAGATTCATCGAGCTGCAGGACTCCTCGCTTTTCCTCCGGACACCAAAGCTGAGCCGTACAAGGTAATGGGGATATTGAACACACTCTCAGGAAAACTGTACAAACTAACTCACCCCTAGTCGATGTATGCTCACGAGCGATGGGCCTATCTTTCCGACCTCTTTGTCCGCACTCACCATGAGCTTTTGTCACTATCTTCTCGTCCTTTGTTACACATCGCTCTGTCTGCGGGATTGTCGGCTCTCAAAACTCCTTCGTGCCATTCGGCCTATACCTCCTCCAGTTCGAATTCGTTGTCCACAACAACATCTGTTTGTCCAATTTGTTCGACCGAGCTTAACGAGCTCGCACGTAACATGCCATATGCTCACCACACGAAGAGCTACGTTGAGAACGACCCGATTGTGCTCCCAAATGGCAGGATTTACGGCCAGCAACGGCTGTTGGAGATGAGCAAGAAAGTCGGTTGTGTTGAGGCTGGTAAAGTAAAGGACCCTACGACAGGTGAAGTATTCAACGAGGGTGATATGAAGAAAGTCTACATCATGTAATAAGGAACGCGTACCAAGGCTATGCACGGCTGCAACTGGCCATGTTCCTTATCTGGTTTGAAACGGACAGTATAATTTTTATCTGCAAGGAATAGTTCGAGTTGGCATTTCCTATTCGCTGTCGTCGCTGTCGGATGCATCTCTTGGCCTCTTCTTTCTCGCACTCTGCCCAGCTTTGGAAGATGGGGCGTTCCTTCTCATCACCGGATGGTCTTCATGTTTGACCTCAAAGACGTACATTCTCGCGTCCCTATCTTCCCCCCTCCAGCCGCCTCTTCCACCATCCTTTCCTTCAATGTCGCCCAGCGTCCGTGCATGGGAATACTCCTTATAAGAGGCCCACGGAAATCGAAAACTGGTGACCACTTGCAAGCCAGCATGCCTTGCAAGGTCTTTGATATTCCAAAGGGTGTAAGGCTCACCCTCAAACATCGACACTAGAATTTGACCTGGTTCCACTCTATTTCGGCATGTCGCCTGCCCCGTGGTATTGGCTGTTCGCAGTTGGTTGCCGTCTCCACTGCTATCATGATCGTTCTCACCCCCGCTTGATTCAACTCCAGAACCCTCCCAGTTATCCCAGTCGTCTTCATCATCACTATCTACGCGCTCGGGGCGATGAGACAACAAAGGCACACACGCTTTGAAGAACGCCACCAAGAGTTCCTGGTTGGCTCGCACCTGCCGATTGACGTCGGTGGAGATACCGCCGACATGGGGGAAGTTGAAGCAAATCACATCCCACGGCCCACCTTGTGGTGCAGATGAGGCGCCGCTCTTTGCTTCTTTCCAGGCCGGGCGTCTTCGCTCCTGTCGTGGAAAGCCTGTCCGAATTTCTTTACCGCCACCCGCAGGAAGACCGAGTTTTCGAGCGTCAACTGAGTAAATGACTTTGGGTCCACGACGTTGCGCCTGGTCCTCAAGGAACCCTTGTGCATTGGTTCCCACAATTCCTGCATCGCCGCCGATGGATGAAATCTCCTTACTGTCCGAAGCAAGCTCCTCCGTCGTCGCCTTGGGAAATGCATACTGTATATCGTGAATGTTATTTCCAGCTTTGGGGTATTTGCTGTGGAGCGTGTCTTTGGAATCATAGCAGGTAGCCATGACATTCTTGCAACGGTGCTGGAGGACTAATGAGCGGGCAAAGGAGAAGTCGCCTACACCAATCTAGTTAGGACTGCGGTCCAACAAGACAACTTTATGTCATGGTTCTCTGGGGCAGGTCCCCCTTTCCCCGATGCTGGAATAGCAAGTAGGATGTAGACAAAGGCCAACGTGAGCTTGGCCCGCAGACCCTGAGCATTTGCTCTCCGGGGGCCGGGGGGCAAGGGAAAAGAAAGGAAGGCACAAAAGCAAGTATCAAGAATGTATAAGGCAACGCATGCATCGATCGAACCGGAAGAAGGGCACATGAAAGTAGAATGGGAAGAAAGGATGAACCCAACTCACCTTCCCCAACCAACAAAATCCGATCCTTTCTCCCAAAAGGCACAATAGGCCGCTGATTCCTCTGCAGCTGTTGCTGCTGCTGCTGTGAATTCTTCATCTTCCGATCATTGTTGCTGTTTTTAGCATTACCCGAGCCAGGTTGGTGATGAGCACTCTGAGCGGCTTTAGGCTTTGCAGGGTTCGTAGTTGTAGTAGTCGAAAGCTTGGCAAATGATGCCATTTTGCGATGCTTTTTTGGATGCTGTTGCTGTTGCTGGCCTGCTGGGGATGAGACCCCAGCTTTTTTGGACTTGGGCATTCTTTTCTTTTCGTTTTTTTTCTTCCCTTCCTTCTTTTTTGTCTGGTGTTTTAGGGTATGTCAGGGTGTTATTAGGGGCAGGGGAGAGAGTTGATATTAGGGATGGATCTGGAAGGAGGGAGGGGGTTCTCTTTTTCAGGTAGGAATAGTGTACAGTACAGATTATATATATATGTTACCGATATATATATTTGCGATGAAGGTACTACGGTGGAGGCATGCGGTTCAAAATTCTATGATTGCTGGTTGCCGCATGGACCAATGAGAGGGTCGGATTTGCGGGATGACGGTACTAGGACCGGACCCCTTACTAGGGACGGAGATCCATCAGAACTAATAGTAATAGTAATTCAACAAGATTATAGGTAATGGAACTCTACAGCAACCATTTGCCCTCAGGAGTGCAACTCACAGATATGTTCAGAATGCTCAATACTATTTCCATGTAGTATACCCACGGGAAGCTCCATGGGACTTCTTATCATCTAGAAAGAACTCTGAGCGCAACCTCGACGACTAGTGCTCCTGCCACGGAGTAATCTTCTGTCATCCCCAAAAAAAGACGCTTCAATTCTATAAAGTTTATTAAAAAGGCACTAGAAAAAGAAAAAACTTCTTATATACAGGCTTATACACCAGAAAAGGCCTTCCTTTTTGATGAATCCTCAACCGCACGAAACCTTACTTTGCGAGGCCACGCCACAGGCAAGAACACGGAACACGCCATGATCAGCAAAAAATGAGACATGTCATATCAATCCACGGCATTACTAGACGATATTCAAATGGAAGCCATCTGCGCAGCCCGATAAAGGAAACAAAAAGAATATACGAAAAGGGTCATGATCGGGGCAGATATTTGATAAGCAAAGCTGAAAGACCAACAACAGCAAAATGGAGGCCTTTCAGGTAGCTCGGCGCGTGGATATTGAATACAGAACCACCAACACCTGCCGAGGAAGGAATGAAGACTGTGACTCAGGGTTTGAACAACAGCCCCCGCCAACTACAACGAAACGAAGAATCACATATCACATGCGAGTAACGAGCACATTCTCGAACTCGGTACGGAGAAACCTCGACAATGATCAAGCCGGAGCAGTCGCCCACAACGACCCGACCATCCCGTTGATCTCTAGGCAAATCGATTTAGGAACGCAGCGAGTCCCGCATACTCTGGCTGCTGGCGCTGACCGGGGGGTTGGCGGTCGGCAAGACACCAGTCCTTGGCTTAGCGTTTTGCTTGATCTTAGCAACGGCGTAGACGATACCGCTAACAAAGCCAACGACGATAGCCGAAACGCTGGGGAAGGTAACAGGGGCATCGAAGAAAATAAGTCCAGAGATAGCAATGGGAAGCTTGTTCAGAGCTCCAACCATGGAGTAAGTGGTCGACGAAGTGACGCGAACGCACCAGGCGGAGGTATAGGAAATAAACACAGACGACAAACCGGAGAGGATCATGGCGAAAACGATGCTGTTGCGGTCCATGGGAGGGAAGTTGCGGTTGACGTTGGTGGATGACCAGTCTTCCAAGAAAGCGGACAGAACGATCAGGACGGGGATCGACAGAAGGTTGTTGTAGAACATGGCTAGAGAACAGCAGGTCAGTAAAGGATGCTTTTGAGCCACAATGTTTTTAGTCTGAGTAACGTACTGTCAAAGTCCTTGAAGTTGGTCAGCTTGATCCGCTTGCGCATGCCCAAAACATAGGACGACGTGCAGAGGCAGTTGACCAGCATCCAGATATAGCCTGCATTCAAAGTAGACACCTTGGCGGTCGCATCGCCATTGCTCTCGACAGCGTGCTTGATGTCAGCCCAGGCGGCAATGATAGAGCTCAGGACCATCAATCCGAAAGAGAACAGGGTAAGACCGGTGACGGAGCCACCAAACCACAGCACCTCTCCGTAAGCGATAAGGATGATGGTCAAGTTCTTGAAGATGGTGTAGACGGGAATCGAGAGGAACTGAAGCGCCTTAGAGCCCGTGTAGATCATGCCGATCAAGAGCAGAGTGATGGGGAACCCTAGTGATAATCAAAGGCACGTCAGTTCGAGGGCGCGAGGGGATCTAAAGAGCAGGCAGAGCACTTACACTTTCTAGCCTCGTCCGCGCTGAAGTCGCGATAAGTGATCAAACCACATGATTTACAGGTCTGGATAGCGATGATACAAACGAGAGACTGCAGGCAAAATCGAACAGCGGTCAGCCTTTGAACATCCAACACACACCCATCATGTGCTCCGATTTTAGCCAACATACCTGGATGCAGAGGAGGAAAAAGTTGAGGTTGAAGTCAGTGCCGGACAAGACATATTTGTTCATGACGGTCATCAAAATCGAGGATCCACAATAGGCCAGGACGGGCAAGATGGGGTTGTTGGACAGCGAGCCCGACGGCGGACTCCTGGGCTGAGGCGGCGGCGGCGCCTCGAAGCTCTTGTTGCTCTGGTCTATCGAATCCATCTGGATCGTGTAGTCGTCGGTCTTCTTGCCTTCAGCCATGGTGACTGGATTCAATGAGTGTCTATGCGAAGGGGATAATTGATAACGATAGGCCTGTGGGAACGAGGAAGAGTCGTGGCAAGGCGAAGGCGAGTCGGGGATGAAGTGATAGTGGCGGCGCCGGAGCGAGCGTCAAGAGGAGAGAAAACCCGCAAGTATAAAAAAAGAACACGAAACACCAGCCCGGAGATACGTTCTACTCAGCCAGGCACTTTTGAAAGAACGGGGGGAAGTGAGGATGTGAGGAGGACGAGGGGGGGAAAAGAGGGGGGAGACACGAGGAGAAAGTCGAGAAAGAGGCTGAGGATAAGCCGGGGGCAGGAAGAAAGACCACAGGGAAGAAGAATAATAATAATATCGCGAACGAAGGCGAAGGGGGAAAAGCAAATTACTTGGGAAATGAAAAAAAAGGTTCCCTTTCCCGCCTGGGCTGGAACTGCCGCTTCCTCCGGATGCGGCGTACAAGTCGGTTATTTTTAATCTTGGCTGTCATTCCAATACATACATACATACAGTGGATTCATGTTTCTCTGTGACGGTGTGCCATGCTTGGCTTTGGGCTTTTTCAAAGTTCACATTACCTGTGTCTTGGTCGATTGTTTCCCGATCATCTCTGATCTTTCTCACAGTGCCACGTTTTGTCCTATTGCAGGGTGAATCGGGATCTGGTGGAAATGATTAATTACACATGGTACCTGACCGAAGCGGCGGTACCTTTTCAGGGACTTTCCTCCATACTCCGTATCGTACCAGCATTGGGAATTTCAAGGCGGTCCATACCGACCGATAGCCCGCCGTAGATTCTTCTGCCTCCGTATAGACTCCGCCCCCCCAATCAAGTCACAAAGGGGAATCGACTGCTCACATTGAAGATTGTAGCCATATCCCTACATATATTTTCTTCAGTCAGACCTTCCTTATCTCCCACTCAAAGTCAACCTCCGAAGCCCTTATTTTTGCGGAAAGTGTTTAGCTTCCAACTACCCCTCCGACCCACCGTGTGCTTCGCCCTCCCCTCGTCGTTCTCTATCATCAACATATACCTACTATATATATCCCCTCTCTTGTTTCTGTCTCCTCAAGGCTTGTCCTATCCCTTCAATTGAAAACATATACCATCGGGTTCAGCCTCACTCTCTGCACTGAAAACTCATCTTCATAACCGTAACCCACAACGGAAGGAAACCCACCACAGCCATGAGCCGCGCCTTCGAAGGCAACCCCCCCGCAAGAGACCAAGATGACCACGACGCCGACTCGGATGCTCTCTTCGACGCGCTAGAGAACGAAGATGACACAGCCTACCGAGCGCACCGCATCGAGCAACTCAATGCGGAATTCGCCTCAGCCCAGAACAACAAGAACAACAACGACAGCCGCACCCGCGATCACACTATCCTCGAGGACAGTCTGTACCCCACGATCTCCAGCGATCAAGCCTTACTAGACTTCACCACGCAGACCCATCGATGCGTGATTCACTTCGCGCATCCGGATTTTGCGCGCTGCGGCACGATGGACGAGCATATTCGAGCGCTTGCAACCCGGCACCATGAGGTGCGTTTTGCTCGGGTAGATGTGCGGAATACACCGTTTGTGGTGGAGCGGCTGAAGATCCGGGTTCTACCATGCGTGATTGGGTTTAAGGATGGGGTTGGGGTTGAGCGCGTGACTGGGTTTGAGGGGCTGGGGTCGGGTGGTCGGGATGGAACAGATGGGTTTAGCACCGCTACGTTGGAGAAGAGGTTGATTTGGAAGGGGATTCTTGCTCAGGAGAAGTTCCGGGCTGGTGATGGGGCGACTGATGGGTCAGAGGATGATGATAGTGATGATGGAGAGCGCAGGGATCGGGGGAAGCGCTCAATTCGAACGGGAAACGCGAGGAGTTATAGGCATGCTGATGACGATGATGACGACTGGGATTGAAAATCGAGTGGCTTTCCCGGATAGCCTGCCATAATTGCAGAAAGATGTCCTGCCATCTTGGGGGATGCATGGTTACCTTGATGAGACAAGGCGGGATTGCGATAACGGCGCTGGGGACTAGTAGCTCCTTGCTTGGCTGTAGTCATTGATGTTGGTGTGTAACCAATCTGCATCTGCAGCAGTGATTGTGGCAACTGAGCAGGTCGCGCCGTAAGTTCGGGTGATGGACTACCCAGGTTTGGAGTATGCCCGGATGCTATTTCAATCAAGCCCACACTCGGAAGGGGGTGAGCTAGAAACAGTTTGGCGCGATTGGGGCTAGAAGCATTAACCAATGCCGGAGCGTGATACGGGATATATTAGAGTCAATCACTCAAGTGACTACAGAGATACATCTTCATACTAGTGGTCGACCATCGTAAAGAAGTATTACCACATTGAAGCCGGAGGCGCGAGTCTACAGCAGAAATCCAGAAAAGAAAAAAAAAGCACTTTGAAGAAAACTAATACAGCATCATCGTTGAGGTAAAGTTACAGCAATGTGGAGAAAACAGATCGCGGGTGACCATCCCAAGTTAGAAAGATAAGGCTGCTGAAGGTTGCAAATGACAAGAATATAAGAATCGAGAGGAAAAACGGACGGCCACAGGAATCATGGAGTAGGACAATGCGAAAGATTTATACATGTAGGTCAGAAGAGGGTTCACACAAATCCATCAACTTTCATAGAGGGGCGCCTGGGACACTTTGGACTGGAAGGAGACAAGATCAGAAAACTCCTCATTAAGAACGCAAAAGCAAGGTGCTCATGATAAAGGATGAAGATGACGCGCCGGGAAAAAAGGAGCCACATAAAAGCAATAATCGCTCAACACGAGGTCTAGATCGCAACATTTTTCATTTCACCCAAGACCTCGGCGTCCAAGCCAGTGGCCGAAGACAATTGATTCGAATCACGCTTTTGCGCCTTGTCCGCTTCCAATGACTGGCGCTCCTCCTCACTCTTTCCGGCTCCCTCGTTCTCTTTTCCGCCGATTTGAGGCGTGGCTACCTCCATCAAGTCTTCGGATGAACGCTCTTCCTCGTTCTCCTTAGCGGCCTTTTCTGGAAGCCCAGTCTCCTCAACAGTATGTACCGGGCTCGGTGCCTCTTCTGTGACGCGAGCCAGCGGACTTGACATGCCGAATTGAGTCTTAGGACTTTGAGTAGACCCCCGGTTGGGGAAGCGATGCGGCGACCTTCCACGCTCTTCACTGGGCGTTGGGCTGCCATAGGGTGACTCTTTGCCCGACTTGCCACCCGTACTCAAACCCAGGCCATTCGGAGCCTTGCGCCTAGGTTGTCTCCTGCCGTACTTCTGATCGGCCCTCCACCTCAAGATCTCCAAGTAGGGGGGTTCCACGTTTTGCGACTTGAACTCCAAAAGCTTCATCTCATTCGTCTCTTCATCCACAGAAACTTTGCCACTGCAAATATCATCTGCTAGTATAGCAAGGAAGGCAGACCAGGACCGAGCAACAACGTATTTACAATCGTAGTCCCGGCCAAAGATGATAACCTGTCCCCACTTTCCAGCAGGTCCTGGGGCCAAGTCGATAGCGATATGGTTGCCGCCCCAGTCGCGAGCCAGGGGAATCCAAGCCGGATGAGCATAGGCCTTCTGGACTGCACCGGGGGGCTGCGAGTCCTGTCGCTCGAGCAGATCATTTCTCCACGCACCATTAGCACCCGGGGCAGGGGGCACGGCGGACGATGAACTGGGAGTTGGCCTTGAAGGAGCGTTCATCATAGATGAGCTCAAAAACTCCTCGTTGACTACCCTCCAGTTCTTCCATTCTTGAACGATCTCCTCACAGTCCAGAAGCATGCAGCCAAAGATGACACCGGTGGGCAACCCTCCCCGCTCCTGACCATCATGGACCATCAAAGATTCCCGCAGTTCCAACGGTAGGCTGCAGTCCAGTTCGTGCTCCAGTTCGTTAATGTCATTTTGGGTGCAGCCCTCACATAGATTATCCCAAAGCTCCTGGTAATTATTTTCCAGCCATTTCTCAATCTTCCTCCATGAATGAGCGATGGGTGGAGGGGGCGGTGCACCATCATGGAAACTTTGCATCTGGATCTCCGGAGCACCATCCGCATTGGGATCTGCGGATTGACGCTTCTGAGATGACAGTGATCGCATTCCAGGAGAGTATGGGCGATTGGGCGAGCCCCCTCCCGTAGGGGAGCCGGACCAGCCATTTGAGCCTTTCGGCTGGTCGTCATCATACGGGGAAGTCAGATCCGGTCGAGATTCGATAGCGCTTGTTGCAATGGATGTGAGAGGCTCGTGTCGACTTTGACTAAGAGGCACATGTTTACCGGTTCGATACGGCGAGTCATGGGAAGCATGGCGATCATAAGAAGTCATTGTATGCCAAAAGGACCGCCATGCTGAGCCGATGCTGTGGATGGTTAGAAAAGCGTCAACCGCTGAACTTGGATTCTCGGGAGACGTGGCCAGGTGTGTTTCAATAAAAGGGAGATACTCACGCATTCGCCATGATGGGAATCCAGACAGATAATCAGTGACAGAGGGCAAGCGGACTAGACCAGCACTAATTGTTCTTTTTCTCTCTATCTCCTTGTGAAACAGCGAACGAGGAGTATTTAATGGGGGAGGAAGTCCAAGGTCGGAATTGAGTACCGCGGATAGATGGATGAGGAGCGGAAACCAAATAATAATGTAGAGGAAGTTTTGCTGGGAGGGCCGGTGGGTAAACGGGGCGGCTAGGGAACCGCTAAGTGACAGCACTAAGAGGCGATTGGTATTAGAGGAAGGTGGGAGAAGGAAGAAAGTTGGAA